CATGAGAAGACAGACAGGGTTAACCGGTCTTCCGTATGACAGCTGCTAATTTGTACTCACCACACTTCCTATTAATATTTAATTTAATCATTCATTCGATATAATTAACCACATGGGCTATAATGTCCCAACCACATTTGTTCATTCACGGGTCTCTCTTATGGTAGAAAAAGCTAGCCTCCACGTTTTAATTTCTCATAATTTTAAAGACTTTTCTAGAGAAAAAAAACTCAAATACTAATTACTTTAATACTAAACCTATAAATTTTGGGGGCTAAATGCATCTAAATATTTACATTTCATATGTTCGGATCATCTATGGAAACCAAGATATATATAGGTATTAGGTAGTCACATGATAGATACAATTTTTTACAACTATCCATATCCGGGAGTATTTTGAGATTCCATATATAAATTAATTTATCATACACAAAGAACATGTATGCATATATATATACACACACACATATATATATATATATATGATGCTTTCGTTCGACCGCAAACCATACAAAAAGAATAAAAAAGAGAAAGCTTAAATCCTTCAAAAGGGGAGGGACATTCCAGTTGTGTTTTGTAACTTTTGAGGAATGTCTCATTGTTTATTGATGTATCCAACACGATTCCTAAACCAACAAGCAATTTATTGTATTATTTACTAAGCGAATATAAAATTTAATGTACCATTAAATCAATCTAATAACCTACTTACCATTTTTTTTCCTCATGCATTTGCGTTGCATCCATGCATGCGGAGAATTAACTCGCCCTGCTGTATCCACGTGGCACCCTGATTAGCGACAAACGGGTTAATGATTAATCTATTCGTCAAAAATCCGATCTCTCTTCCTTTTTCCTCGGAACTCGCGAAGCGTTGGGCCCCACCGAATCCAACGAGCCAACATCATCATCATTTGCATCACCATCAAACACCGTGTAGTTTTCTTGCTCGCGTATTCAAACTAGGATGCCTTTTTTTGGGGTTATAACTTACAGCCGTTCCGTTCCACGAAAACCACCCAAATGATCATTTCCAATCTTTTCATTTTTTGGTCTGTTTTATTAAAGAAATTGTCGAATTGCAATATAAATCACATTGTTTATGTTAAAACTACCCAAATAGACAAATTGTTTATATTTTTATAAACACATACGATAAATCTGTTTGACAGTGTTTTTATTTATATTTATAAACCCAAACAGTTATTATCATTACAAAAAGTCATCTGCAAACTTGCTGAACTTGAACAGTTTTTGTTTGGGAAAATCTTCATTGCATTCCAATTTGAAGACTGTAGCAGTAATCAGTTCTCCTTATAAAGCAGATCGTAGAGTACAATTTAAAAAAAAAACGAAGAAAAAAGAAGGAACATCTTGGTACGTTACCATTTAATTGTAGGTAATAGAAAACACGCGCTTATCCGGCGCGTTGTAGATACGCGCAGGCGTTGAAGATGAGCGTAAGGGTCACGGGTGCTCGGGTCGCGTGAGGGGACAGCTTAGCAGCTGCATGTAGGTCTCGGACTAATCGCAGCTGTTTATGTTTCGTGTTTAACGAAGCACTAAATAATACTATAAGTTTTTTTTTTTGTTAAAATACTATATGTTATGTATTAATACACTCAATAATACATATGGTATTACATATATATATATATATGTTACTATAATTTAACAGAGACAGCATCTTTTGGAAAGTGGTCGTCGTCCGGTTAGTCGAACTTGGTGGTTCGGCAATCTCAAGACGATCTGATTCTCGCTTCTTTAATTTTATTATTCTTCAGTCTTTTGTAACACTTTGGTGTGGTATTAACAAAAAAAAAATCTCCTAACACTATCAAAGAATCATCCCCTCCCACAATTATATAAAAAATACGTAACGATTTTTTTTTTATAATCGAATTTCTCATGTACCTGCGCTGCATGTATCGCAACTTCATAGCGAACAAATATCAGTATAATTCAACAAAAAAAAAACAAATATCAGTATACTTCTTCTCTTTCCGGTGATAATGACCCAAAACACTCGGAGATTCAGGAATATATATTTGCTGACATCCTTGTTAAGGGCATTAATTGGGAAAATTAATATAAAAAATGATCAAAACACGATTATTGCGAATTTGCGACAAAGAAATCATCCGAAACAGACTTCATTCCTCTTTTCAGAAGATATTGATATTACCCCACCAACATTTTAAAGTTGGTTCTTCACGATGTGACCAATGAATAAAGGCATGTAAATGCTCGGTTATCACCATAAGATACATTAATAACGAATCAGTAGAATAATTAGGGGGTTATCTTAAAAATATTTGATGTTCTAGAGTTATATCTTTGATATATATATATATTTATTTATTTCATTTTCGAAAAAGGGGGCGGTGGATGGATTCATATTGTCTCTGAGGAATGGGAAGAGACACTTTTAGAGGGGACAACATGAGAAGACAGACAGGGTTAACCGGTCTTCCGTATGACAGCTGCTAATTTGTACTCACCACACTTCCTATTAATATTTAATTTAATCATTCATTCGATATAATTAACCACATGGGCTATAATGTCCCAACCACATTTGTTCATTCACGGGTCTCTCTTATGGTAGAAAAAGCTAGCCTCCACGTTTTAATTTCTCATAATTTTAAAGACTTTTCTAGAGAAAAAAAACTCAAATACTAATTACTTTAATACTAAACCTATAAATTTTGGGGGCTAAATGCATCTAAATATTTACATTTCATATGTTCGGATCATCTATGGAAACCAAGATATATATAGGTATTAGGTAGTCACATGATAGATACAATTTTTTACAACTATCCATATCCGGGAGTATTTTGAGATTCCATATATAAATTAATTTATCATACACAAAGAACATGTATGCATATATATATACACACACACATATATATATATATATATGATGCTTTCGTTCGACCGCAAACCATACAAAAAGAATAAAAAAGAGAAAGCTTAAATCCTTCAAAAGGGGAGGGACATTCCAGTTGTGTTTTGTAACTTTTGAGGAATGTCTCATTGTTTATTGATGTATCCAACACGATTCCTAAACCAACAAGCAATTTATTGTATTATTTACTAAGCGAATATAAAATTTAATGTACCATTAAATCAATCTAATAACCTACTTACCATTTTTTTTCCTCATGCATTTGCGTTGCATCCATGCATGCGGAGAATTAACTCGCCCTGCTGTATCCACGTGGCACCCTGATTAGCGACAAACGGGTTAATGATTAATCTATTCGTCAAAAATCCGATCTCTCTTCCTTTTTCCTCGGAACTCGCGAAGCGTTGGGCCCCACCGAATCCAACGAGCCAACATCATCATCATTTGCATCACCATCAAACACCGTGTAGTTTTCTTGCTCGCGTATTCAAACTAGGATGCCTTTTTTTGGGGTTATAACTTACAGCCGTTCCGTTCCACGAAAACCACCCAAATGATCATTTCCAATCTTTTCATTTTTTGGTCTGTTTTATTAAAGAAATTGTCGAATTGCAATATAAATCACATTGTTTATGTTAAAACTACCCAAATAGACAAATTGTTTATATTTTTATAAACACATACGATAAATCTGTTTGACAGTGTTTTTATTTATATTTATAAACCCAAACAGTTATTATCATTACAAAAAGTCATCTGCAAACTTGCTGAACTTGAACAGTTTTTGTTTGGGAAAATCTTCATTGCATTCCAATTTGAAGACTGTAGCAGTAATCAGTTCTCCTTATAAAGCAGATCGTAGAGTACAATTTAAAAAAAAAACGAAGAAAAAAGAAGGAACATCTTGGTACGTTACCATTTAATTGTAGGTAATAGAAAACACGCGCTTATCCGGCGCGTTGTAGATACGCGCAGGCGTTGAAGATGAGCGTAAGGGTCACGGGTGCTCGGGTCGCGTGAGGGGACAGCTTAGCAGCTGCATGTAGGTCTCGGACTAATCGCAGCTGTTTATGTTTCGTGTTTAACGAAGCACTAAATAATACTATAAGTTTTTTTTTTTGTTAAAATACTATATGTTATGTATTAATACACTCAATAATACATATGGTATTACATATATATATATATATGTTACTATAATTTAACAGAGACAGCATCTTTTGGAAAGTGGTCGTCGTCCGGTTAGTCGAACTTGGTGGTTCGGCAATCTCAAGACGATCTGATTCTCGCTTCTTTAATTTTATTATTCTTCAGTCTTTTGTAACACTTTGGTGTGGTATTAACAAAAAAAAAATCTCCTAACACTATCAAAGAATCATCCCCTCCCACAATTATATAAAAAATACGTAACGATTTTTTTTTTATAATCGAATTTCTCATGTACCTGCGCTGCATGTATCGCAACTTCATAGCGAACAAATATCAGTATAATTCAACAAAAAAAAAACAAATATCAGTATACTTCTTCTCTTTCCGGTGATAATGACCCAAAACACTCGGAGATTCAGGAATATATATTTGCTGACATCCTTGTTAAGGGCATTAATTGGGAAAATTAATATAAAAAATGATCAAAACACGATTATTGCGAATTTGCGACAAAGAAATCATCCGAAACAGACTTCATTCCTCTTTTCAGAAGATATTGATATTACCCCACCAACATTTTAAAGTTGGTTCTTCACGATGTGACCAATGAATAAAGGCATGTAAATGCTCGGTTATCACCATAAGATACATTAATAACGAATCAGTAGAATAATTAGGGGGTTATCTTAAAAATATTTGATGTTCTAGAGTTATATCTTTGATATATATATATATTTATTTATTTCATTTTCGAAAAAGGGGGCGGTGGATGGATTCATATTGTCTCTGAGGAATGGGAAGAGACACTTTTAGAGGGGACAACATGAGAAGACAGACAGGGTTAACCGGTCTTCCGTATGACAGCTGCTAATTTGTACTCACCACACTTCCTATTAATATTTAATTTAATCATTCATTCGATATAATTAACCACATGGGCTATAATGTCCCAACCACATTTGTTCATTCACGGGTCTCTCTTATGGTAGAAAAAGCTAGCCTCCACGTTTTAATTTCTCATAATTTTAAAGACTTTTCTAGAGAAAAAAAACTCAAATACTAATTACTTTAATACTAAACCTATAAATTTTGGGGGCTAAATGCATCTAAATATTTACATTTCATATGTTCGGATCATCTATGGAAACCAAGATATATATAGGTATTAGGTAGTCACATGATAGATACAATTTTTTACAACTATCCATATGTTACGAATGCATTTCCTGACAAGCGGATTCTGTATGTGATTTGTCTCTTGATTCCAATCCAAGGTGGTTGTCTACAAAGGAGTCATCAGAGAAAAACCATCCAGTAAGGAAGAAGCTCGTGAATTTATTAAAGGTCGGTCATTGCCACTTTCGCAACCCTGTCTCTTATAGTCAGTGCCGTTTTAGCTGTTGATAATCACAGTCTTTGAAATGTCCAGGCTATTCTGGGTCACATGGATCTGTTGTGGGATCTGTACTCGTAACCAACTTGAAAACCGGAGTAAGAAAAGGCGGATGGGACAAAGCAGAGGTATTATTGTCTCTTATGTTCTCTCAAAAAAATTACCTTTGATCCTAAAATAACAGCTTTTAGAGATTCTGAAAGTGAGGAACCAGTTGTCTCATTGTCTCTCAAATCTGTTCTTGTTCTTCCTATGGTAGCGATAAGAATCTTGTTTCCCTCGACTTTCTGCTGCATTGTTGTGCAGGTCTATTTCCATGAGATACCGGATAAAGTCATCGATGACCTGGTTAAACACTCTACACTGACCCAACAGTGATTCTTCTTGATATAATTGTCTTAAATATGTTTGTTTAACATCTGTCTGTATTCATCTTTGTTCCAAGATTGAGGAGGGCATAACACTCAACGTAGCCGGAGGTTTAATGCTTGAGCATCCCCTCACTTTGCCATTTGTGGAGACCGTGGTTAGTGCCTCTCTGCTCGAGAAAACCCGAGTTTTTCATTTGTTTAACACATCTACCAGATTGCACAGCTCAGTCCATCAAAATCAAACTGCACCTTTGTGAAAATGTATCGAGGAAAGTCTAACTGAGGATTCATGGGTATGGGGATGCTTGTATAGGTGGGGGCGGCTGATACAGTGATGGGACTTCCTAAAACACTCACGGAAGAATTCATCAAGGACGTGCTTTAGTAAAGAAGCCCCCTTTTTCTCATGCTCACCCTTCAAATGTCACACTTTCTAAGATAAGATTCAAATTTAGGTAATTTGTGTTTGTTCCCCCATCATCGGACGACTATAAGTGATTGGTCCATATGAATCAGTTTGTTAGTGTCAATTGTACAATTCAAATGAATGGATAGATTCATTTACTGATCATCCCATGCAGACAAATTATGGCTTTGCATATGTAGTATTTCGTCCATGACTATTCTACCTAGAAGCAAACTACTGGGCCCGAGGCCCGAGGTTGAGAGTGTAGATGGGGGGTGAGACAGATGCTAAGCGGGGCATCGGAACTACTTGCTGTTAAGATGAAATAGAAACGGCAAGATGTTGATGTTTGTAAACATAAAGTGGCGAAGCAGCAGATGGAAATGGACGTGGGGGGTGGTCGCTAGTGCTACTAGGTAGAGAGAGAGAGAGGAGGTGGGTGGAGAAAGGGTCAAAGCAGAATTCGATGGGGCTGGCTGACAAAATTCCGGTGGTGGTCGAAATGCGAAAACGTGGACCAGCAGCAGATGCAGGATCCATCATTCGCAACGTGCCCTTAATCATTCCACCTCTGAAAATCTCTTTCCCCCGATGTGTATAGTGCCAAAATGCTCTGGACCTGGTCCTGAGTGATCTGTATTGCAGCACCGAAACAGCGGAATTTTATCAACTGCCAAGTTTATTTTGGTCGTTGCCTGTCCAATAAAAGAAACAATTGATATTAAAATGCTTTTAGCTAGATACAGTAAGAAAAATCTATATGATTTCTCTTAAATATTTCTCATTGCTTGGGCGAATGAAAAGGTAAAACACACAAAGTGCTTACTGAGCTGTAATCTGAATGCTTAATAGCCCGGACAAAGTCATTCGGGAGAGCATTGTTAGGAACCAGCTCCTGTTACACAAAAATAGAGAAAGAAAAGTAAGCAGAAAATTGCTCTAAAAACAAATCAACAAAGAATTAGACACATAAAGATTTTACTTTTGAAGAATACATTGGGGCTCAAAGCCTTATACCATGAAAGTTCTATAAGGAGTAGCATTGGACAAGACAACTGATGCATCCACCCGTGTACCATCAGCAAGCAAAACCTGATTTTTGTCAACCATGCCCATATTGTCCAATGAGTTTTGATTCAGGTTCTCACTTCATAGAGAAATATTTAGAAGAAAACCCACCCCTTTCACATTGCCAGAATCTTCTATCAGAACTTTAGAAACCTGGCAGACACATAGGTATGTACTTAGTGGTTACACTTTCCGAGTACGAAAGGGGAAGAAACTAGAGTCCCAAACTCTGTTCTATGTGATGTAGGTACAAAATTGGTCAAGTAGAATGATCGGAAAGAAAGATACCGATGCATTTGTAAAAATTTCAGCCCCAGCTTCCCTAGCGGCATTGCCTATAGCCATGGACACTGAACCCATCCCGCCCTCCACATAGCTGCAAAAATAATCCACATAAAGCACTCAGGATAGCCAAGCTTTACATTTGAAGTTCACCATATACCTATCGACACAGAAATGACAATGTCGTCAATGTAATCTTCATTTGAACATCTAATCTCATTAAGCATATGCTCTAACCAATAACCTAGAGAATGATACACACACAGTAATAGGATTGCCAACCAATTTGTACATTCACATTTGTCAGTTCAACATCCCAGATACATACGACCAGATTCCTCGATCTCCATCCGTTTCTCCCATCACATGATGCAGTAGGACATATCCACTTCCAGGAGTATGAACGCTGGCCTGAAAGTTAAAGATGGGTACTACATAACTGTGTTACATATGCAGTGTAGTCTCAAACGAACCATGAACATATAGGTCTATTACCGTAGATCCAATCACAGCATCAGTTGCGAGAGTTGCCTTGAGCACATCTGACTGCAAGCATAGAGACCAAGGACAACAAAATAAAAGCATGTACAACGAATTTCCAGCTATTTGTTCATGTACTAACAACAATATAATTAAAACAGAAAAATCAACCAATAGGAATCAAAGATCAGGAAACGACCTCAAACCAGTTGTTCAAAACCTTGGAAGCTGGGGACAGCAAAAGATCCATGAAGTCCCTTCACATATAAAAGTTAAATTGCATTATAGCAAATCCACATAACCGATTATTGGCGTATATAATTGGACTCTATGCTCAATCAAGTGAGCAAAATAGCAAAATTTTATGCTCCATTCCTGACCCAACTCAGTTTCAATAACAGAAAATTTCAGATTATTGTTAAAAATAAGAGATTCTTTCCCTTGCATTTCCAATACCATACCTGGCCTTGGTCCCCCTCCCTCTCAACTTTGTTATGTCTTATCCTGATTCTCATTTGCGCTTTAATTTATATTCACATATATACATACATATATTCAGAATGTTAGACTATAAAACAAGAAAAAAGTATGAAAATGTGTCGAATACAAAAGAACATATACATAGGTGATGGAAGATTCAAAGTGGAATAGAGAAGTAACGAATTGGGAAAATGGAAATTAAAAAAAAAAAAGAGGAACTTGTTTGGTAAAGGTGGCACAACAAACCCAATGTATAATTGTGCCCAACGAGAAGTGGTCAAGCAAAGAGCACTATGGACCTAAACCCTTTTGAGGATGAAACCACTCCCAATCTTGGGGTTGGTCGAATATTTTTCTTTTTCCACTTTTGCCCTTTTCGCAAACATTGGACCACTCCCAAATACATTCCCAGACTTCATTCCTCTTTTCAGAAGATATTGATATTACCCCACCAACATTTTAAAGTTGGTTCTTCACGATGTGACCAATGAATAAAGGCATGTAAATGCTCGGTTATCACCATAAGATACATTAATAACGAATCAGTAGAATAATTAGGGGGTTATCTTAAAAATATTTGATGTTCTAGAGTTATATCTTTGATATATATATATATTTATTTATTTCATTTTCGAAAAAGGGGGCGGTGGATGGATTCATATTGTCTCTGAGGAATGGGAAGAGACACTTTTAGAGGGGACAACATGAGAAGACAGACAGGGTTAACCGGTCTTCCGTATGACAGCTGCTAATTTGTACTCACCACACTTCCTATTAATATTTAATTTAATCATTCATTCGATATAATTAACCACATGGGCTATAATGTCCCAACCACATTTGTTCATTCACGGGTCTCTCTTATGGTAGAAAAAGCTAGCCTCCACGTTTTAATTTCTCATAATTTTAAAGACTTTTCTAGAGAAAAAAAACTCAAATACTAATTACTTTAATACTAAACCTATAAATTTTGGGGGCTAAATGCATCTAAATATTTACATTTCATATGTTCGGATCATCTATGGAAACCAAGATATATATAGGTATTAGGTAGTCACATGATAGATACAATTTTTTACAACTATCCATATCCGGGAGTATTTTGAGATTCCATATATAAATTAATTTATCATACACAAAGAACATGTATGCATATATATATACACACACACATATATATATATATATATGATGCTTTCGTTCGACCGCAAACCATACAAAAAGAATAAAAAAGAGAAAGCTTAAATCCTTCAAAAGGGGAGGGACATTCCAGTTGTGTTTTGTAACTTTTGAGGAATGTCTCATTGTTTATTGATGTATCCAACACGATTCCTAAACCAACAAGCAATTTATTGTATTATTTACTAAGCGAATATAAAATTTAATGTACCATTAAATCAATCTAATAACCTACTTACCATTTTTTTTCCTCATGCATTTGCGTTGCATCCATGCATGCGGAGAATTAACTCGCCCTGCTGTATCCACGTGGCACCCTGATTAGCGACAAACGGGTTAATGATTAATCTATTCGTCAAAAATCCGATCTCTCTTCCTTTTTCCTCGGAACTCGCGAAGCGTTGGGCCCCACCGAATCCAACGAGCCAACATCATCATCATTTGCATCACCATCAAACACCGTGTAGTTTTCTTGCTCGCGTATTCAAACTAGGATGCCTTTTTTTGGGGTTATAACTTACAGCCGTTCCGTTCCACGAAAACCACCCAAATGATCATTTCCAATCTTTTCATTTTTTGGTCTGTTTTATTAAAGAAATTGTCGAATTGCAATATAAATCACATTGTTTATGTTAAAACTACCCAAATAGACAAATTGTTTATATTTTTATAAACACATACGATAAATCTGTTTGACAGTGTTTTTATTTATATTTATAAACCCAAACAGTTATTATCATTACAAAAAGTCATCTGCAAACTTGCTGAACTTGAACAGTTTTTGTTTGGGAAAATCTTCATTGCATTCCAATTTGAAGACTGTAGCAGTAATCAGTTCTCCTTATAAAGCAGATCGTAGAGTACAATTTAAAAAAAAAACGAAGAAAAAAGAAGGAACATCTTGGTACGTTACCATTTAATTGTAGGTAATAGAAAACACGCGCTTATCCGGCGCGTTGTAGATACGCGCAGGCGTTGAAGATGAGCGTAAGGGTCACGGGTGCTCGGGTCGCGTGAGGGGACAGCTTAGCAGCTGCATGTAGGTCTCGGACTAATCGCAGCTGTTTATGTTTCGTGTTTAACGAAGCACTAAATAATACTATAAGTTTTTTTTTTTGTTAAAATACTATATGTTATGTATTAATACACTCAATAATACATATGGTATTACATATATATATATATATGTTACTATAATTTAACAGAGACAGCATCTTTTGGAAAGTGGTCGTCGTCCGGTTAGTCGAACTTGGTGGTTCGGCAATCTCAAGACGATCTGATTCTCGCTTCTTTAATTTTATTATTCTTCAGTCTTTTGTAACACTTTGGTGTGGTATTAACAAAAAAAAAATCTCCTAACACTATCAAAGAATCATCCCCTCCCACAATTATATAAAAAATACGTAACGATTTTTTTTTTATAATCGAATTTCTCATGTACCTGCGCTGCATGTATCGCAACTTCATAGCGAACAAATATCAGTATAATTCAACAAAAAAAAAACAAATATCAGTATACTTCTTCTCTTTCCGGTGATAATGACCCAAAACACTCGGAGATTCAGGAATATATATTTGCTGACATCCTTGTTAAGGGCATTAATTGGGAAAATTAATATAAAAAATGATCAAAACACGATTATTGCGAATTTGCGACAAAGAAATCATCCGAAAGTTATAAATTTACCTCGAGAACAATTGTGTTGTTTATAAAATGGAAACTGTTCCGATGTTTTTTATACGTCATTGCACATGTACTTTTGATCATATAATAGCATAAAAAAAAATGGAAGAGTTGGGAAAATTTACATGTGGTATTTGGTATGATGATTTTTATGGGTGGGCCCAATAACTTTTTCTTTTCTCTAGTTCAAGATCGTTTTTTATGGGGAGTATTATTAGTTCTTTGACCTTTCCTTTTTAGAGTGTCCATCTTTGACCCATCAAGATTCAAGACCAGAATCTCTCTATCTCGTTGAGCCAAGAAAGAAGAGAAAAAGCGAAAGAAGATATCATATACATATGTATATGTATATGTATATTTAGATAATGGGTGTTGCTTTGATGATTGTCTATAGGGTTCTTCGCTTCAATAGAGGGATTTCGCCTTTATCTTTTGGTTTCTTCCCTGTCCGTTTGCTTTCTTTTCATGCAATATTTTCCTTGTAACTCTAACCCCTACAAAATCTCGTGGATATTCTTCTCATTATAGCCCTAACTTCCTTCCATGCCCTTGTTAAAAACAACACGACAGAATTAGATACTCATGGGGTTTCGATTCTCGACCTATCGTCGCCATGATTGTTTAGCGTGAGACTTTACGTTCTACGACACGACACTATATATGAATCGAGACAATTTTCATATCTTATCCATTAATTAAAAACACATGCATGGGATTATGAATCAACATGCCCATAGTTGTTGTTTTTTTACTAATTCTAGTGTTCATGTATTTTTCATAACGCCATTTGCCTTCCAATTCATTCACACATATATCCGTAACAATTATTTCAGATACCTCAATTGAAATAACAAGAGAGAGAAATGGCATTGATGATGATCCAACATTATGGCCACCAGAAAACGCAGAAGAAATGAATGGTACTTGCCATGTATGGCAAATGATGTGGTGTGATCACATGAGCATTGAACAAGAACACAGATATAGACGAACGTGTGATGCGATGGAGGAGATGATGATAGAGAGACTGCACGCGCCGGGGAGTGGAGGCGCGTGGGGAGAGGAGGAAGGAGCAGAGATACGGAAAGAGACAGAGGCAGTGTTCTCGTGATCGGAGATTGGCAGATCCTTCTGATGAAACTCCCCCCCTTGTCACGTGGGCTCTCTTTTGACCACCCCTGATGCATCACCTCTCTCTTCCCCTTTTCTTCTTTAAAGTTTAATTGTTTATTTTAATCCTTCATTTCATTTGTTTTATTTCCAATCTCCAGTTATACATGTAATATCATTAGTGTCTGTATAACATATGAAAAAAAACCTAGGACCTTACAGGTAAGGTTAAGGTTCATACACACACATATATGTATGTATATATATATATATATGGGTATTAATTAAACACGCTTTTTAATCAGAAAATATGAATTAGCTAGGTAACATTGATGAACACGGGAAGTCGAGTTCACCGCGTCACTATCCAGCCTACCGTTGAGGTAATTTTAATATGTCGTATAGCATATAGATATGTGTACGTCATGCATTGAACAATATGGAAATAACGGTTCTGGACATCTTAGGAAAAAAAAAAGAGTTTTATAACCCAAGTACAAAATTTATTCATCTCAATTCTATCTCACACATTCAATAAAATCATACCACTTACTGGCACAGCCATTGACTGTCCAATGTATATATGACAAGATAAATATCACGGGATATGAAAAAATTGAAAGAAAAAATATCACAGAATTTCAGATTTTTTTTGCGAATAGGCGTTGTTAACTTGTTACATTTCTCCACGGTCGACTGAAATAGTTCAGAATGTGTATTTCAGCATACCATATATATATATATATATATATATTATAAACATCACATAAATACTACAGCAAACATTTGAGAGCTTAGTATATAGTATCATCATTTGAGGTTGTGAAAAGCTGCCCCCACATACTAATAATATTATTATTATTTATTTACAATATACGTGCGTATATGTGCGTATACACATTCCTGAAGATCTATATATAGGGGTGAGTCCCTTCTCTCCATTCGCAATCCACCCCCAAGTTGAACCTGCCACTGCTGACCCTTATTTCGCCATTTTCACCACCTCTCACATAACCTTCCAAAACATTTATTTCAAACTTCTAAAATTTAGGGTTTAAGAGAGAGAGAGAGAGATGATGCAGAGATACAATAGCTCAACGCAGGGGCAATACTGTCATTCTTGCGGGATGTTCCATCACCAAGGCCAAAGCTGCTGCTACGGGAACAACGTCGGCTCGTTCTCGATGATGTTCTCATCGGCGCAAAACGGCGGCGTTTTCGAGAACAACAACAACAACGATAGCAACTGTGGCGACTATTACTCGTCGTCGAGCGTGGACTGCACGCTCTCTCTCGGAACTCCGTCGACGCGCCTCTGCGAGGAGGACGAGAAGCGAAGACGCTCCACTTCCTCCGGAGGGTCCTCTTGCATGTCCAACTTCTGGGACTTGCTTCATTCTAAACACTCCTCCAAAACGGCGTCGTTTGACGTCCCCGCGTTTTCCACTTCCAACTCGGGCAAGTTCAGCCGCGGCGGCGGAGGTGGAGGAGGCGTGGGAGGCGATCCTCTCCTCGCTCGCCGCTGTGCCAACTGCGACACCACCTCCACTCCTCTCTGGAGAAATGGTCCTAGAGGCCCCAAGGTTATTATTATTCCTTTTTTTTCCTTAATATTTTTTTCCTTTATTTTACAGAAAAATGTCCAAGATACTTGATAAATACGTTAGTACGTTCTTTTTTCTGATCATCAAGAAGCCAAACCTAGAATTTCAGCATATTTCGTATATGCGTAGTCATTCTGTTTCTTCTTTACGCATTTTTTCTGCGTTATATTTTTCTATTTCGTTTATTAATTTGCGTATATATATATATATATATCTTATATATATGTGTGTAGAAGTGGAGGTTAAGTGGTATAGTAATAATGGTGATGGTTGCTTTTGGCAGTCCCTATGCAATGCGTGTGGGATTCGTTTCAAGAAGGAAGAGAGAAGGTCGACGGCGGTGAACGGCGGATCCGCACCCGTTGCGGCCGACCACTGCCCCAGTTATAATTACCATAATGCCACGGGGAATGGATCGTGGGTTCACCACTCGCCGTCGCAGAGGTTGCCTTGTTACCAGAATGCCAACGAGATAAGGTTCATCGACGACGTCGCCGGCGACTACCACCACCGTGACTCCGACGCCGCGCCCTTCCTCTCCTGGAGGCTCAACGTGGCGGACAGGGCTGGTAGCCTCGTCCATGACTTCACCAGATGAAAAACGGCTGATAAAAAGCTGTGTTTCCATGTGGTTTATTAATCAATAGAACCAACGAAAAAGGGCAAAAGAAGAAGAAGAAGTGTATATCGAGATTGCGATGTTGATGATGTTTGAGTGATAGTGACGGTCTAACTTATGGTCCATCTATGAAATCTCCTTTGGTCAAATTTAAATCATATTTATATTTACACGTCAAACTTTTTCATTTTTCCTGTTTTAATTTTATTTTTATATCGAAATTGAATTAACATATTAATCTAATTCTTTCTTCCTCTTTTTTTGTGCATTTAAAAAAAATCGTCGTGGTTGCTTTTTGTTTAACTCTTATTGATGAAAGGGAATAAAATATCCAAACACGTAGAATTAAATGATAATATTTGATTTAAACTGATATATATATATATATAAACTTGTTTATAAGTCACAATATTTTAATTCAATCAAATAAAACTTATTTAAGGCGATCTCCCTCTGCAACCCTTTGCTTTCCTTGTCTATAGACTATAATATTTATTATCTGTTGTGAAAAACTGATAAGTTGATACTACGTCGGTTTAATTTTATATGACGTTTTACTATAGTTTTTTTATTTAAAACTAAACCGAGGAAGTATAATTACTTTGTAATTAATTATATGCGTATGCAAAAATCTTATAAAAAAAACAGCTTATTTTGACAACCGATATTTCTTTAAATACGTATAGACTTCGATACTTATGCAACATCCATCAATATGATAATTTTTAAAAAATAAATAATAACAACCATAAGAACTGGCAAGAAGCACATTTGGTACACCATAGAAATTAATGGCATATTTTTCACTTGCAAATTTACATCGGCAAGTTATTTGTATTCGTAAAAGTAAATAAAAATATACGTCTAAACAGAAACATTCAAAAAACTGTTTTCCGAACGTCTAAAATATTAATCTCTGAGTTGTATTTTTTCCCCCATCAATCGCATGTTTTATAGTTGTTAGTAATTCCATGCTTGATATAAATTTAGATTCTTAACCAATATATATATATAGAGAGAGAGAGAGATAGATTCACAAGTGAAATATGTGAATATGTATGAAAATTTCATACCATAAAATAATATATTTTTTTTGGTAAATTCATACCATATAATTATTATATAACAAAATATTATATACAGTGTAGAAGCCGAGGAGGCCTAGAACTAAAAAGGTTTGTACATGAAAAGAGGGCAGACCAAAAATATAGACATAGGATTTAACTCTTTTAATGTATATAGTTTTCTTAGAACGAAGAAGTTTCAGTTCCATCTGAGTCCCTGAATTTCACAACTGCGACTTTTTTTTTTTAAATATATATATATATATATATATAATGTTATTTTTTAAATTTGGAGAGGGTTGCTGTATACACAAAGATGAAATCTGATCGTCCAATCGAGGGGTTAGATTCTGATCGTACCAAAGTGGGTTTGCCATTGTCTGGGCACTGTGCTGTTTCAGTTTGGAACAGAGCATTGTAGTGATTTAATGAACTTATCTTTGTCCTTATTACCCCTAACCTGTCTCGTTTTTTTGACCGTCAATTTGTCCGTTTCTCCTCCCCCTTCTTGACCTTTTCCTCTTGTCAATATGCCTATACCCGAATATTTTATTTTTTGTATATTTTATGTTCATGTTTTCGCAATTCATTATTTTACTGAACCGGGTCTGAAATGGTTGTACTAATTTCCAATTTTTTTAAATCATTTTTTGTTTTGCACCGTGAAAAACAAATTCAATTATTAGCCCACAATAAAACTTATGACATTTCAACCAAAAACAGGACTTATAGTTACAGACTATCAAGTGAGTGGATTATAAATTCTTTGATAATGATGTTAACTCGTGGGATTTTTTGTTTATAAGTAAGTTATAGACTATCAACCAAAAACAGGACTTATAGTTATAGACTAACGGTCCATTTTTGCAGTTTTAAAATTTTAAAAATCAGTTGCTAATTATCGATGGCATTGGGCCTAAGAATGGGTTAAGGAACATTATCAAAGGCCCGTATATGGAAAAACATTGTGAAACGGACTTGGAATGGGCCGAGAGAGAATTTTAGCCCAGACCCCCCTGACGTGTATACATCGAAGGTTGTTCACTTTCCGCGCTACGCCTTCACAGTTTCCAGTTCCACGACCGAGCCACCTGCTCCGTCACGATGTCCCTCCGTAAAACCCTAGCCGTCGCCATTAAACCTCCGTCCTCGCCGTCTTCCGAGCCCACGATCACCGCCTCTGATCTCAAGGTTTCGGGTGTTCCCCGTCCTTCTTCCGGAATCACGTTTCGATCCCGCAAAATCCGGAAGGTTTCGTCTGTTCCCGTTGATTCGTCGCTGAAAACCAGGGCGTACCCTCTCTCGTCCCAATCGTCGATCGATCTCGCTCTGCGCCATCTCCAGTCCTCGGATCCACTTATCGCGACCGTGATCGGCGCGCACAAACCGCCGGTGTTCGGTTCTAGCAGTCGGCCATTTCTTTCCCTCGCAAGGTCCATTATCTACCAGCAACTCGCCATCAGGGCCGCGAAATGCATCTACGATCGGTTTCTCTCTCTATTCGACGGCGGAGAAGTAGGCGTCGACCCCTCCGCCGTACTCTCGCTCTCCACCGCGCAGCTGCGTCAGATCGGCGTCTCCGGCCGGAAAGCGAGCTACCTCCACGACCTCGCCGAGAAATACATAAACGGCGTGCTCTCCGACGCGTTGATACTGGAGATGAGCGACGAAGAGCTGATCAATCGATTGACGGTGGTGAAAGGGATAGGAGTTTGGTCGGTACACATGTTCATGATATTCTCGCTGCATCGGCCTGATGTTTTGCCAGTCGGAGATCTGGGAGTGAGGAAAGGCGTGAAAGATCTGTACGGGTTGAAAGAGCTTCCGGGTCCGTTGCAGATGGAGCAACTCTGCGAGAAATGGCGTCCGTACAGGTCTGTCGGGTCGTGGTACATGTGGAGGCTAATGGAGGCTAAGACTTGTTCGATCAGAAAATCGGCAGTAGCAGAGACTTCCCTCGAACCGGTAACAATTCGTTCCTCTGCCTGTAATCTGTGCATTAGGGGAAAGGAGATACATACACGTATATGTATAATCATCCATCACTTGGTTATTTCTGCAGAATTAATATTCATCGAAGGATGGGAGTGCCCGAAGTGTGTGTTTGTCTAACGAAGAGGAAGGTCTACTCTGTCTTTCTGCTTCAGTTGCTTCATCAGATGCAATATTTGCTACAATCGGGCAAATAACTCAACTATACCAAAAGTGTCGCACGAATTTATCGGATACACCGCAAAAAATATAACACATTAATTTTTTTTTCGAAAATATTATATTACCTTTAATAAAACCGTGTAATTATAATTACAAAGTCGTAATTAATTCTAAATACTGTTGTAATTGATTCTAAATACAGTTTCAATTGATTCTAAATGAGGTGGCAAAAAATAAATCTTATTGTTTATAAGATTTTTAGTTGTTATACGATTATAAATACTTCTTTTTTTAGTCGTATACTAGTTATATAATAGTCGTAATAAAGTCGTAAAAATATGAAAGAAAAATTATTTCGGACTTTTTGAACGAAAAAATGGTATAGAATTGAAAAAAAAAATTATTATTTTTTTAATGTATCGGTGAAATTGCTGCGACAGGTTTGGTATATTTGAATGATTTTCTCGCTACAATCTGCAAAATCTGCAATGTATATATATATGTTCTCTATTAATAGATTCTGTGTTTGATTCACTTACATTGTATTGTAATTGAATTATATATATATATATATATATGCCATCTTGTTATGGAACAACATAGTCATCTCACACAGAAAACAATAGATAAGGGAAAACAAAAAGATATTAGAATTTAGATTAATTTAAAACTGTGATTAGACATCGAGAAGCTAAACATCCACAACTCTCAATCTAAATAAGCAACAACAACAACAAAAAACACGTGACAAAATAAATAGAAACATAAGTAGTTTAAACAAGGTAACATGATACGATTGTCTTGCATGATCGAGTTAGTATCTAGTGTGCGCAAAGAACAATCCGATGCGAGGGTCGTCGTCGTGGCCGTAATGGAAATCGAATCTGATCTTCTGCCCGGGGCTGCTACCAACCATGTGCCAGTCGACGATGTATCTGTTTCTCGTGTTCAATATAAGCTTGACGTCGTGCTTCCGGTCGGTCTTGAGGTCGTAGACCTTGAACGGACGCTCCCTGCCCATTCCGACAGGTAACTTGGAAATGAGCCTCATGGCTGTCTCATACTCGATCTCGAACCCTGTCGTCGTTGTCGTCTCGTCCTCGACCACCGTCGTTATTACGGCCTCGTGGCTGAGAAACCCCATCGTCACCCCTCCGTCATCGTTCCGCACGTCATTCAGATATGAACTCATGTTCTTCTCCGCTCTACTTCTCGACGATGACATTTTTTTTCCTTTGCCAATAAGCTTTTTATCTATTGTTATTTCTTTCTCTTGTGAATAAATGTTTAACTTCAAATTCCACCCTCTTATATATATATAACTCTTTACCCTTTTCCATTTTTAAAAATTTTACATTTCTGTTATTTTAGGTATTTTTCTAATTTACTTTTTCGTCCCGTTCACTGTTCTTCTCCGTTTTTTTATTTCCGAAAAACGTTTTTTTTTTTACTTTTTAATGTACCTTTTTCCGTGCAATTTCCATTTGTTTCCGTTTAAACATATTTTTACAAGCAAAAATTACAACTTTACTTTTTTTTTTTCTCACACTTGTGCCTTATTAAAAAAAAATACATAAATCAATTATATGTACTTTACAATTTGACATAAATCGATTATATGTACATTAAATTTTATTCTGAAATGTTAATATGCTATTTTCTTTACTATACAAATCAATTTCATTAACAAAATCGGTTTTTATTGTTTACTTTACATTTTTTTTACAATTACTTGTCTTGGGGAATCAGTTTCTTGATGTTTTCCCAATTATATTTTATTTAAATTATATATTCCAAAACCTTAGTTTGCTTGGGGTTTCTTTGATTGAATGAATAGAGCACGGGTACACCATTAATTAGATGCCCATTTACAACTACGCGTGGCCATACGTATAATAAATTACCAATATTATTATAGTTAAAAGCGCAGTGTGATTAGCCCGATATCTCAACCGGCCCACAAATACAAGTGTGTATATAAAGGCCTATATGTCCAATCCTATTTCAACGGGCCGAACATGGGTTTAAAGCCTTTCGAGGAGATATTGAATCCAACTATGAATATTTTTTTAAAATGGATTTTAGTATATGGTGTTCAAAAGTCAGAAAACTAAGAAAATAGTTATTACATTTAACTCAATAATTGTGATAATAACTTCCATTTATTAAAAAAAAATCATATTTTTCGGCAAACCCAATACATTAAATTCTGATATATTACATTTTTTTTTATTAATTTCCGTCGGCCACTAAAGCCAATGAAGGAAATAAATCATCACGTGGAAGGACGACAAGAGCACGGTATAGGAGCTTGGGGATAATAAAAATAAAATTGATTGGTCCAAAGTTTAATATGAATTAGTCATAAGGTTGGGAATTGTTCCAATATGAAAAAGGTAAACTGAAGTATTATCAGTGTACAGGAAATAATAATATGCCCTGCACCTCGTAAACCCCCAAATATAACATTATTCCGTGATTATTTAACAAAAAAATCATATAAACTATAATATACAATTACTAATTTCAGACGATAATGAAATGTTATTAGAAGTTTCATTGAAAACTTTTATGTATATATCAAATATCAACTTCGCTATACGACAATGTTATGAAAAAAAGAGATAAAAGTGTGCATCTTTAAGTTGGCCATTACTATAACCAGTCATAAGAATTAAATACTTGTATCGTTGTGTATTTATTTGGTATATAAATTAAGAATTGGTATGAGCAACAAAACCTATCGTACTTGTTATATAGTTGGAACGTGTCGTGATAATGCAACCCAGCCATGAGACAGACCCTCTTCGTGAATCAGAGAATCTCAACACAATACATACATTATACGGAGAGAGAGAGAGAGAAAAGGGGAGAGAGAGAGAAAAGGGGAGAGAGAGAGAGAGAGAGAGAGAGAGAGAGAGAGAGAGAGATGCTTGTGTGGACCAAAAGTTTTATTCTTCCACACTTTGATACCTCAGCCCCCACTACAAAAAAAAAAAAAAAAAAAACGGTTTCAAAGCGGAGATCTTTAACTTCTCCATGTCTCTCTTGGTTATTGTTTCAGGAGAAAATGCTCAGATTGACGTCTTGGCAGATTTCATCTTCGCTTTTCAGTTGGCAAGGCAAGCTGCCGAGTTTTTCGTAGAGCCTAATGAAGAGAAGGTATACCTATCGTTAACAAATCTGGACTTGCTTCCACTGTGATTAAAGTTGGAGAAATTACCGTAGAGACAATAACTTTGTATGATATTATGAATGCTGAAGCCAATTAAGCAACAGAACTAAAAAAAAAAAAAAAAAAAAAAACGGTTTCAACGCGTATTGCCTCGTTAAGATAGTGATTATTTTAAGATCAAATAAAGCCTCTTAAACCCTAACCCTAACCCTAATGATGGCGGGTGATTTAGATCAATCTGTGTTTGTTTTGGGAATTGGGTTTTATACATGCAGACCCCCTTTTCCTTTGACCAAGTCATCTCCCTAAATATAAATAACGACAATATGGAAAACGTTTGAATGATTAGACGACCGAATTTGCGAAATGATTAACGACCATAATCACCCGCTATCGGCAGAAGATAGACGTGGTGCTTTCCTTGTAGTAAATGACCTGACAGGTGGCTTGTCTGAGCCTACCAAAATTACTCTCTTGCCACCCCCTATGTCAAATACTATTTAGTGTTGTGTTAACAAGTTTGACTAAGCTAGGGTTTTGCAGAGAATGATTCAATTAGTCAGACCACATAATAAAGAACCGAGAGAGAGAGAGAGGGGAGAGAGAGAGGGGCAATAATGGGGGGATGGACCAGGGTTGCAGGTGGTGAGAGAGCAAACATATGACCTTGTCTGAAAATTAAGAGCAGTTACCACCACCTCCTCCACCATCTCTCTCTCTCTCTCTCTCTCTCTCTGGTAGGTGTTGTGCATAATTTCGTGTACATAAACAAAGAAACCCACAAGTTGCTTAGCTTTGTTGGATTCGTGAAATAAAACTTGATGGGCGACAGGAAACATAGGCGCACATGCCACTCTCCCTCTCTTTCTGATCTTTCTCTCTCTGCTTCAGCAATTCCAGCTTGCTCTCCCTTCTGAAACAAGGAGGGTTTTTTGAAACATCAAGGTAAAGTCATCACTTCTGTTTTCGTTCTGGTATTTGATTATCAGCATGGGGGGAATTAATGGATTTGTGGGTATTGATTAACAACACAGAGATGTTTCAATAAAAAAAAGGAGAGACCTTTTTTGTTTCTTCCTACCAAGTTTTCATCAAGTTGTGTTCTTTCGGTCAGCTTTACGATGGAGCTTGAAGGTAAAGCTAATGCAACATTTTTCAGCACAATCCCGTCAAAAACCCTAGATCACCACCCCCAACACACGATCGTCAGACCTCAGACCGTCCTGAGAAGAGACCCTTACCCAGATCCGGAAGCCGAGCCCGACCCGGATCCGGACCCGGTTTCCACCTCTCCACCCACTCCGCCGTCTCCGCCGGCGGTTTCAGTCGCCAACCGAACAAATCAGAGAAGGAGGGCACGTGGCGAGACCACGGTGAGGTACCGGGGATGCCAGAAGAACCACGCGGCGGCCACCGGCGGCCACGTGGTGGACGGCTGCTGCGAGTTCATGCCCAGCGGGGAAGAGGAAACGCCGGAGGCGCTAAAATGCGCCGCGTGCGGATGCCACCGGAGCTTCCACAGGAGAGACATCGACGGCCAGGATTCGCCGGCGCCGTACATGTACGCCCATACAACGAGCAAACACGTGATGACTCCTACGTTGTACTGTAGTGGGTCGTACAGACTGCTACAGCCTCATGCAGTGCACCGGACGGCTGAGATACCGCGGAGATCGTATTCAACGGAGGACATGAACAATGTGTATCAGAGGAGGTCGGGAGAGGAAAAGGGGTCGAGGAAGAAGAGATTCAGGACGAAGATCAACGAAGAACAGAAGGAGAAGATGAAGGAATTCGCGGAGAGACTGGGATGGAGGATGCAGAAGAAAGACGAAGAAGAGGTTGATAAGTTTTGCTCGCAGGTGAATCTGAGGAGACAGGTTTTCAAGGTGTGGATGCATAATAACAAGCTGAAGAGGAACATCAGTCACCAAAAGTGAATTCATCTCTGTCTCTTCTTTTTGTTATTTTCTCCCTAAATAAAATCCAACTTTTGGGGAGGAATTTGCGACTCGTTCTACTATGCCAATGGACAAAGATCCATCTATACGGCGAGACACGTACGTACGTTCGAATTGGACGATTGATGACTGTCTTTTGTTGGATGGATAAGTTCCGACCGTACGTTGGTGTTGTGTTTCTGGAACGGTGTCTGGTCTGGTCTGATTATAATATTAATCTTACTTGTTGGAATAATAAACTAATTATAGTCGTTTTGTGTGCGTGTGTGAGATATATATATGTATATATGCTAAAAGTACATAGTTTCAGCGGGAGTTGCTTACAACCACATTACGAATTCTAGATTGAAATACATTATCTAACCGAATTCGGAAGTTTTGATAACGGAACGTGAATATCAGAATTATAAATAGAAAACGAAACCATCACAAAACTATATAATAATCAGATATAATATGAAAAAAAGAAAGAAATTGAGTCTCTTATACATAAGGTGGCATGTGCAATTATTGTGGAACCGATCCATCACATGACACCGTGAAACTATGACAGGGTTTTTCTCCCTGTAAGAGAAAATATTGTGAGTTGGATTGTGAATTTTAGCTCCATACCGAGATTGCCTTAGTTCAATCTATTCAATAAAACAGAATAGAATATCCGAATCCTTAAAAAAACGAAGTTCTGATTCCGTCCCGAGCGTCAGTCGAAGAGCCACTCCCTTCCATTCGTCTCTTTCGCCGTATTTTATCTATAAAATCAAAATTTTATTTGTTTTTTAAATCGTGGGCACACAGAGATAAACATGGCGATCGTTTCTATAGCAAGCTCGATTCCCACCTTTAGTTCTCCGAATCAACTGCGAATTAGCCGGTAATTCCTTCCGGATTCTATAATGCAACACTATTGCCCATATGGGCATCTGATTTTTCTCTTAAACTCTCTGATTTACATCGTGTGTCTGTGTTTATATTCGTCGGTCTGACAAAAAAAAAGGTCGAATTCGAAATCGGTTTGCTGCAGAAGATACTCTGGCATGGCTTTCGCAACGGGAGTAAACGTTACGGAAGGAGAAGGCAAGTTGCCGAAGCTCGTCCTCACTTCCCCTCGAGGGAGGTAACTGCGCAACTGCCCTTCTTTTTTCTCGCATTTTCCGCTGTTATTTCTGGATTCGTCATACGGTGACGCCATTGTATTCTCGTAGTGCATTTTTATTTGACGATTGTTACATCTGATAATGAATTCTCGTTCGAATTTTGATGCATCGCATTGTCAAGTTTAACTTGTAATCCGGGTTTCAGTTCTGTCCTAATGTCTTCTTCATAGTATCCTCTTGTCAATTTTCATAATTCTCGGTGAGATTGACAGATGGTGTCCTTTGTGTGGATTTCACGAAGGGCAGAGTTTTGTTTGATCATTTGTTGAATCAAGGAGATTGATGGAATCTTGATATTGGTTGGTGCAGTGAGGCTGAGATATATCTATTTGGAGGCTGCATTACATCCTGGAAAGTTGCTGGTGGGAGGGATCTTCTTTTCGTCCGACCAGATGCTGTGTTCGACAAGAAAAAGCCCATAAGGTGATGACTTCTCTTAGCTTGATCCTGAGTTTTTCTCATTTACCTGATGATATTATTTCGTGTGAGGATTGTGGTTTATGGTTGGAGCAAAAGTGGGAAAAACTAGAAATATGGGCTGGAATTTGGTGCCCAGGAAATCAAAGATCGTGTTTCTCTGTCACATTACAGCCTTTCATCGTTCAGAAATCGTTAATATGGTTTTCCCTTGTACCGTTTCTTGTTATCGGGACAGCGGAGGCATTCCCCATTGCTTTCCACAGTTTGGACCAGGAAAAATGCAACAGGTATGACACTTTCACCGCTGTTCCTCTTTCATGTCAACTCGCAAATTTACGATTATCAATGACACTCTTTTGGTGCGTTGTAGTTCTTAAAATGACTCCGATGATATTATACATAGTTTTTTCTTCTTCTTTCCATGGTTATGCATTGTTTTAGATCTTCTAATCTCCTGATATGGAAGCCTTTACAATGAACAGCATGGCTTTGCAAGGAACATGGAGTGGTCCGTTGTTGATTCTGAAAGTGCGGAAGACAATGCTACTGTAACTCTGGAGCTTCAGGATGGTCCTTACAGTAGAGGCATGTGGGATTTTGGTTTCAAGGCTCTATACAAGGTTCTTGGTTGATATCTGACTAACTAATGAATTTGGACCGACGCCATACCTCTCCATGTACCGTGCTTGTCACGAAGTTCAGATGTCATCTCTAACAGCTAATTCGGCTGCTTTCAGGTCGTTGTTGGTACAAACAGCCTTTCTACTGAGCTGAAAATAACAAACACAGACAACAAGCCCTTCTCTTTCACCACTGCCTTGCATACTTACTTCCGTGTAGGGTCACGATTTTAGTTATCGCTATAAAATTTAGTACGTTAGAGCCAATCAGCTGTTGAGCTGATGCATTTTGGCTTGACCTGTGACAGTTACTGGCTTGCCAAAATGAATCCATGAGTTGGACTCTGTCTTCTAATGTTGTATTCCACAGGCTTCTGCCTCAGGGGCATCTGTGAGAGGTCTGAAGGGCTGTAAAACTCTGAATAAAGATCCTGATCCTGCGAACCCGAAGGAGGGTAAAGAAGAGAGGTTCGGTTCATTTCTTGTTTCTTGTCGATTTGGCGGATTTAAATGAGAATTCAGCAACAGCCCTTTTAAGCAAGAACCATGATGGTATGAGAATTCAGATCAAACTGGTTTTATAACTCTCTTGGTATTAACATCATCACAGGGACGAAGTCACTTTCCCTGGGTTTGTGGATTGCATCTACCTTGATGCCCCTAATGAATTGCAGCTCGATAACGGGCTGGGTGACAAAATAACCATCAGGAACACAAAGTATGTGCATTGGGGAGCCTTCATATGCTTTTTTTTTTGGTTTGGGTCTAATCTGAAAAAGAAAACTCTTGGGTTTGACATTTCTATATGGAACAAAAAATGCAGTTGGTCAGATGCTGTCTTGTGGAACCCTCATTTGCAGATGGAGGCTTGTTACAGAGACTTTGTCTGCGTTGAAAATGCAAAGGTATTTGTATGCCATATCATATGGCTCTTAGCCCTTCTCTTTCAAGAATTTTTTACCCCCAAAATTTCTTCTGACAATTTCATATGTCATTGCTCAGATTGGGGATGTGAAGATAGATCCAGATCAGTCTTGGACTGCAACACAACTTCTCAGCATCAGTTGAACCTTATCTACTTCATAGATTTTTGTTGTGTCATGAACTGGAATGTTTCAGTTTTCTTTCTCAATCCATAGAGTGTTTTTCCTTTCTGAGACCATCTTTCTCTTCATAATTTATGACAAGTTCGAGTTTAAGACGAGCTTGACGCGACCAAAACCAACCAATGCTGTCACCCTCTCTGATGGTATTCAATGCGGGTTTTAGCTTAGATTTAAATTCGTGAACGAAAGCCAACGTTTCAATCGTGCACGAAGATGTTGAGCGGTTAAGGGCAATGTTTAGCCAAACCGGACCGGTTCGAACCGAGTTTGAGAACAAAAACCAATGTCGAGTGTTCCGGGTTAGATGGAAAAATTGCAGAAATAACCCCAAATGTCGTTTCTTACTTCAAGGGATGACCTTCTAGGTTTAGGGTTTTAAAAAAAAACTAAAACAACGAAAAGACTAGTTTACCCTTAAAAAATTGAATATGTGGCAACCTTCTATATAGTGAAAAAAACTTCGAAAATTTCTTCTCTCACTTTTTCTAAAAATTCAAATCGCAAATTTTTTTTTCTTTTTCTCTCCAAAGATATTTCTTGGCGATTCTAACAAAAAATTTCTTAATTTTTGTCTTACACTCGACATATTTCTCTACTATGACAAGATCCGACGTTCCAAAGTTGAAGAATTTGAGAATGCATGGAAAGTGTTCGATAAAAATCCTCAGAGAAAATTTAGCTCTTAACACGTCATACTAGTCATATCGGTCAGACTTTGGTCATACCGATCAGATTTTGGTCAGAGGTCACAATTTGGTTAGCCGGTCACACTTTGGGTGAAGATAACTTATGTTAAGAGATTTTTTTTATACATGGAATTAGATCACCAAAACGATAAAAAATATATTCTTATAACTCTTATACAACTTTTTGAATCGTTTAAAGTTAATTTAGACCTTTACTTTTCGTGTGAAAAATAGTCATACCGGTCACACTTTGATAAGACGGTCAGACATTGGTCATACAATCAGAATTTGGTCAGACAGTCAAACTTATTGAAAATTGATGAATTTATCATTTTTAAAAAGTGTTAATATGGTATAATAATAATCTCATATAACAAATCGGTCAGACGGTCAAACTTTGGTCAAACCGATGATACTTTAGTGAGACAATCAGACGGTCAACCTTTGGTCATACCGATCATATCATCAGTCTGGTCATAAGGTTATACTGGTCATACTAGTCATACTTTTTCAAAAATGATGAATTTACGAATTTAAAAGTGTTGATCAAACATGTTCTTCATATATAGAATTTTAGCTTACTAGGGTTTCATTTCGATTCGATTCGAAGGAACAATATCATTTAAGCTTACACTCGTCAAATTTTTCCTTTATAACGAGATATGGCACACCAAAGTTGAAGATTTTGAGAATGTATGGAAAGTGTTTGATGAAAATCCTGAGAGAAATTTTGGCTACCGAAATACCACACCGGTCAAACCGATCCGATTTTGCTCATGGTTTCAAGAACAATGATGTCATCAATAATGTAACTCCTTCCAAATAAGTCCTAAAGTACTAGTAGTGTTTGTATAATACATTAGATACAATTGACTTATGTTGGAAGATTTTTTTTTTACACATGAAATTAAAACTCCAAAATGATGCAATGTTATTTTTAGAACCCCTATACAACTTTTCAAATCGTTTAAATTTAATTTAAACCTTTCTTTTTCGTACCCAAATGGTCAGACGGTCATACGGTCAGACGGTCATACCATAGTCAGACGGTCAGACTTGTTCGAAATTGCATAATTCATCGTTTTAAAAGTGTTAACATAGTGATAATTATATCATATCACAAATTGTTCAAGTTCAAACTCGGTCGTAACAATATGGATTGACAACATTTTTTGTTTGACAATGGAATTCATTCCAAAGAATAACTAAAGTACTAGTAGTGTTTGTGTAATACATAGGATACAATTGACTTATGTTGGAAGATATTTTTTTACACATGAAATTAGAACTCCAAAACGATGCAGTAGTATTTTTATAACCCTATACAACTTTTCAAATCGTTTAAATTTAATTTAGACCTTTTATTTTCGTACCCAAATGGTCAGACGGTCATACAATCAGACGGTCATACATTGGTCAGACGGTCAGACTTGTTTGAAATTGCATAATTCATCGTTTTAAAAGTATTAACATAATAATAATCATATCATATCATAAATTTTTCAGGTTCAAATTTGTCGTAACAATATGAATTGACCACATTTTTTGTTTGACAATGTAACTCCTCCCAAAGAATACCTAAAGTACTAGTAGTGTTTGTGTAATACATTAGATACAATTGACTTATGTTCGAAGATATTTTTTTACACATGAAATTAGAACTCCAAAACGATGCAGTAGTATTTTTATGACCCCTATACAACTTTTCAAATCGTTTAAATTTAATTTAGACATTTCTTTTTCGTATCCAAATGGTCAGACGGTCATACGATCAGACGGTCATACCTTGGTCAGATGGTCAGACTTGTTCGAAATTGCTTAATTCATCGTTTTAAAAGTATTAACATAATAATAATCATATCATATTACAAATTTTTCAGGTTCAAATATGTTGTAGCAATATGGATTGACCACATTTTTTGTTTGACAATGTAACTCATTCCAAAGAAGACCTAAAGTACTAGTAGTGTTTGTATAACACATTTGATACAATTGACTCGTCTTGGGAGATTTTTTTTCCACGTGAAATTAGGTATCCAAAATGATGTAATAATATTCTTATAACCCCTATACACCTTTTTGAATCGTTTAAATGTAATTTAGGCATTTTTTTCGTACCCAAATGGTCAGACGATCAAATGGTCATACGGTCATACCTTGGTCAGACGGTCATACCTTGGTCAGACGGTCAGACTTGTTTAAAATTGCATAATTCATCGTTTTAAAAATGTTAACATAGTAATAATCATATCATATAATAAATTTAATGAGTATGATCAGTTTGACCACTTTGATGAGTATGACCAGCGTTACCAATTTTGTGAGAATAATCATTTTGACCAATTTGACAAGTATGACCAGTTAGAAGTACGACCAATTTGACCATTCTGACACATATGTATGACCAGTTTTCCAAATTCTTTCATTTGGATGAATTTCACATATTTAACGATTTCGATCAGTTAGAATAACTTGAATCATGGTATTGCTGATGAAATGCCCAAACTTAATATTGTTTTTCACAACAAATTTAATAACGTATTTTAGAAACAAGAAGAGTCCTATTATTTAGATTTGTATTTAATCGATGAAATGCTCAAACTTAATATTGTCTTTTCACAATAAATTAGCTGAAAAATAGATTGGAAGTAAAGAGCGTTGGAAGATTATAGAATGGGCAAGAAGAGAGACTGTAGTTTGTTCCACATATGCGAATGGAGAGAGAGGTGGAAGAGGAGAGAGAGAGTTGAAATATTTTTTAAAATTAAAATATTAAATAAAAAAAGGAAGGGTATTTTTGGAAGGATACAATTATAAAGTTATGAGATGATGTTAGTTTTTTTTAAAAAACAAGGGAGATCATCCCATGAAATAAAAATGACATTTAAAGTCATTTTTGCAATTCCACCCGGGTTAGATTGACTGATTGATAGTCTTTCTTCTTTTCCCCTCGTTGCGGCGGAAACGCGATTTCGGTTCCGTTGCTGAATCAAATCAGTCTCCCTGATACAATCCGACTACGAAGAAGAAGATGGGGACACTGGGGAAAGCATTCTATAACGTCGGATTCTGGATCCGGGAAACTGGACAAGCACTTGATCGGCTCGGTTGTCGCCTTCAAGGAAATTACTACTTCCGAGAAGAGCGTATGTATCCTCTCATTTCCCTGTGCATCGTCTTTTGTTGTTCATGGTTCCAGTCAAGTCCTAGGAAATGAGAGATTTTTGTGTTGTTTCTCGGTTTCTCATTGATGGGTCTTAGGTTTCCAGTTCAAAAAGCCTCCAAATTTATGACTATTTCTCTAGAAAATTCGATCGCGTGGGATCGAATTTCGGCGATACGAGGTGTTTTTCTGGTTAGGATCTGGGTCTCTAGTTCTGTTTGGATCGCGTATGGAATTATGATAGGACGTCTTGGAACAGAAAATCAAATGTGGGATTCTCAGCTTTTATTTCCTAAGAGACGGATCATGACTTGCGATTTGAGCCATTACTAGGTATTCCGATGTGAAAACATTTCATCTTTGTCTTGTTTATCCAAGAAATCAAATATGCATTCTCTGCTTTAGAAGAATCGTTGGGGAGATTCAGTCCCCCTTTGTTGGTGTCTGTCGTTAGATGGGTTACTCTAGTTGAATCTCCAGTATGATGGTGGCCTGAATCGAATAGTTAACAGTCAGAAGTTCAGTGTCTTGTCTTCTTAAGTTAGCCGTTTCTTCTGAAACTTTTGCCTGATATTCCATGGTCAACCCCTTTTAACTGATTCTCGAGCTTGGTTTTCCAGTATCGAGACACCGGACGCTCATGAATGTTTTCGACAAGGCACCTAGTGTGGATAAGGATGCCTTTGTGGCTCCAAGTGCGTCTGTCATCGGCGATGTTCGGGTGGGACATGGTTCTTCCATTTGGTATGGCTGCGTCTTGAGGGGTAAGCCTGTAAGGCAAAATCTGACATTGACAATTCAAACACACCCACTCTTTTGTCCAAAACAAGTTCATGATTTTACCATGTTGATGTGCAGGCGATGCTAATAGCATTTCTGTGGGAGCCGGGACCAATATCCAGGATAATTCTCTTGTTCACGTTGCCAAATCCAACTTAACTGGGAAGGTCTTGCCTACCATTATCGGAGACAATGTCACCATCGGTACAATTATAAACATCCTTTTTTATCCGATAATAATTAACTGTGACGGGAGCAATAATGGATAAACATGTCAACTGGAACAGGTCATGGTGCCGTCTTGCATGGCTGCACCATCGAGGACGAGGCCTTTATCGGTACGAGTGCGACCCTGTTAGACGGAGCTTATGTTGAAAAGCATGCCATGGTTGCTTCTGGAGCTCTTGTCAGGCAGAACACCAGAATTCCCTCCGGCGAGGTTCCTTTTCTCCTCTCTGATGACCCTTTGGTTGCTTACAATCCTGCGGAAATTATGGTGTTTTGATCTCGTTTTCTCCTGATTCCGACCGCAGGTTTGGGGAGGAAACCCGGCTAGGTTTCTAAGGAAGCTGACAGAAGAAGAGACGGCGTTAATCTCCCGCTCGGCTCTTGATTACTCCAACTTAGCACAGGTTCACGCCGCAGAATTTGCAAAGAAATATGAGGAGGTTGAGTTCATGAAAGTTGTGAACAAGAAGTTTGCTCATCCTGATGGGGAATATGATTCAACGCCGACAGAACTTGCGCCGCCAGAGAATGTCGTGAAGAACGATAAAAGCCCGGCAGCTGCATAACCGGTTGGTGCCTCCTTTGAGAATCTTGTTGTTTGGATTTGAAGAGAACGAGAACTTCGATATGGGCTTTCTTTTTTCTCCAATAAAATCTCTCTCTGGGCTGAGGGTTCTTCTGAAGTTTTGGACATTAAGTTAAGACATTCGTTTTCTTCCTCTTGGAAAAATTCCAGAAGGGTTTTGTTCTGCGATTAGCTTGAGAAAGTCGCAACCTTTTCTAGACTCCAAAGGTTTATACTTTCATTTTCATGTCAGTGTTCTGTTTTGGACAAAGCGACAAGCTGGTCGGTGAAAAGCTATGGGTGGTTGACCACTGCCATTGCGTGTGAATGGTTTATTCTCTTTGTTGCGATGTTTCGTGTTGTTGATGACCGATGCGAGTCAAAGCAGCGTTTATTAGTTACGGTCAAACTCTTCTTCACCATACAGTGTCTGCATTTGCATCAAAATAGTAGAAACAAAAGATGGATCCTTTTATTTCAATCCTTTATTACACTCTTGAGATCACCCATTATACGGATTTAGTACATGATACATCCACCAAACATTCAGAACTGAAACAGAGTGCAAAAGGACCAGATGAAGAACGCGACAGCTAAAACCAAAGGGGGAATGCTCATCCTCTTCTCAATTTCTTCTGCATTCCTTTCCAGATGAAGATGTATAATATAATGTCTAAAAAAATATGAAACATTGGTTTTAACTGAAATTTTGATAGATTCGTAATCTTAAAGAACTTTTTATTTTGGGCTGTTGATAAACATCATGGCCTGCAATCTTAGGGTGAAAGCATAATTTGATGGGGTTTCCTTTTGGCTTTGAATCAGGTTCCATATTCTTCACGCCACTTTTAACTATTTGTTGCAGCTTTTGTGTAAAAAAAAAAAAGAGAGGAAAAGAAACGAAGTGAAATAAATTACAAAAAATAAAAACAAAAACTTTAGTATGGAGGCATTTGAATATTAACTTTTGTTATGAAAAAGATTATGTCCTAATTTAGACAACAATGGATGACGATAAACATATAATTCAGACCGAAACTTCTCAATACGCCAATTTGTTGTTGTTGTTTTATAAAATTTTGAAGTTTATTCATATCTAGTTTCATCAACAGACGCCCCATGGGCTACTCAAAATTAAAAAGTGCAGATTAAATGGTAAAGGACAATAAGATGCCACGTCAACCGTGTGAATATTCCATCTTGGACCAGCTTCACAACTACTAATGACCTACTTCAAGATCCCTTAAACGCCGCCGTTTTGACAACGTCCTCCGAGAAACCCTACCCTCCGCAATTACACAAAAGCCCCCATGCCTCGTCGCAGGTGCCCGTGCCTCTGTCCGAGGTTATATCTGTCTTTTCAGAGGGGATAGATAGCCTTCAAAGAAGACGTTTAGACTACCCAGACGAATGACAACATTAAAAAATGGGAAAAAAAGGCGGTGGGGATATTTTATTTATTTAAAATTGGCCAAGAATAGAATATAGGGGAAGGGAAGAAAAAGAGCGTTTCAAATATTTGCGGAGAGACGAAGCGGAGGCGGTCGTTGCGATAAAGCCTTGGAGGAGAGGTTTTCTTCCTTGGAGCTTCGCCCATTTATCTGTCTTCCCTCCTTCCCAGAAGCTACGCCGTTTTACTTCTCTTCTTCTCTGCCGTCGTGACCGTCGTCTCAGCTCCTCCGCCCCTTCGTTCTGAGAGGATCTTCCATTTCCGTCCTCTTCGGCTGGATCTTCATTTCCTGCTTCGAGATCTCCTTCTCGCCTGAGGTAATTGCTTTCTTCCCTTCGCGTTTCCTTTTTTTTTTTTTATTGTCGATTTGGTTTTCTGCTTTCTTGTCTGAAAATTTGTGTCAGAAAGCGGAATCGGATTCAGAATCTTCTGCTGTTATATTGCCTCGGTCGGTCGTCGGAATCGTTTCCTTTTGTTGAATTCTCCTTGTGGCTCGATTCGTTTCGATAATTTCCGTTTTCCGATTAACTCTGTTTATCCTTATGCGAGCTTCTTTTCGGCTTTGGATTCTTATAGTCTCTCTTTAGAGCAGGAATCTTTGTTGGTTTTTTGTTTTGTCTTATTTTTAGTCTAACCGTTGTGAAGGTCTGGGAGAAATGGTTTTGGACATTCCCAATATCCAATTCTCTTTCAGACCTTGTTTGTTCCGATTGTTCCTGACAGATTATTAGTTGTTTGCCTAGGGGTATTTCTGCTCTCGTATGGTCTCTGAAGGTCCTTCGTGCTTTTGTTCTAAAATTGAAGAAACTTATTGTCAATGCTTATTAGGCAATTCCTTGTATCTTGTTCTAGAATCTGGTTTAATCTTGTAGTCCAAATGTATTTTAACATAGTTTTGGGGACATTTTCTTCCATTTTGGACGCTTTCTTGTTTTATTTACTAGGATATGCTTAGCCCTGATGACAATAAGTTAGATTATTTTGTCTCATCTGTTGGCCAGAAAGGAATTACTAATTGGGTGTCTCAAATGATTCAGAGACATGCCTACTTTTTCTGCTATTGCATTGGATAGCTTGCTAGAGCCAGGAGCTTCCAGATCCGTCGAAGATACTGTTCTGCATGGTAAACATCCGCCATCAAAGCCTCCTATTTCAAAGCTAGGGAGAAGTAAGGATAAGCTACCGAGAGACAGGTCTGTCTCCTCTCGTCCCCAGATGTCGCCAGCTCTCTATGCCACCCCGGAGGCAATCCCACTTCCGGATTCTGCTTCTTCCTTCCCTCCGTCTCCTTACATCATCAATCACAAATCTCGTGGACCACGTCTTCTAAAGAGCTTCTCTGAGGTTGACATGTCTTTGTGCCCGAAAACTGGGAATGAGGAAATTGTTGCTGGGGATGCAGGCGTAAAGTCTGCTGCTCTAAGGAAGTCCACGTCATTCTCATTTCCTACCCCCAGGGCTAATGATGAGGATCATACAAATGGTGTTCATGGTAGTCCTGCTGGGAAGAATGATCCTAATGGCATCTGTGGTGGTCCTGTTTTGCACCAGAATGGTGGTGCCCATGATGGGGAACTGGGGAATGGAAGGCTTGAATTAGGTAGCAGTAATGGTGGGATAGAGGATACTATTGCTGCCAAATGTTTAGAAAGGCAGATTAATCTGCCAGAGCTTGTCACGGCCAAAGCCGATCGGGATGGTGAGTCTGAAGATTTCTATGACCCAGGTGAATCGGCGAGTTTCAGAAGTACCACAGAAGTAGAGGATGATGCAGAGCTAGAAAGTTCTCAAAAGCTCGCTACACCTACAGGAGAGTTTTATGATGCTTGGGATGGTAATATCTCTTTCTTTCTGACTCTTTCCAATACAAGTACGGATTGCCAAATTCTTGGGGCAATGTGTATATATTCTTTCATGTCTATGTGTAACCAGTCCATAAAAAATGGTTTAAAGTAACTAGTTGATAGTTCATATTTGGTAACTGTGTTGTCATTCGTTTGGTTTTCCCCAGAACTATCAGTCGACAGTGGGATGCAGGCTTCTGTAAACGACATCGAAGCTGAGCTGAGGGACATAAGATTGAGTCTACTGATGGAAATAGAGAAGAGGAAGCAAGTGGAAGAGGCTCTGGAGCAAATGCGAGCTCACTGGCAGAGGCTGCAGGAGCAATTAGTGCAGGTGGGTGTGTCCCTTCCTGTTGATCCTACCACCTCTGCAGACAGCTGGAACCTGAACGTGACAGAACAACTCCATTCCCAACTTGAGGTCGCTAGGTTTGTATCAGACTCCATTGGCAGGGGCATGACAAAAGCAGAGATGGAGATGGAGATGGAATCTAAGCTCGAATCTAAGAATTTTGAAATCGCCCGGTTGTCCGACCGTCTCCACTACTACGAGACTGTGAACCGAGAAATGTCTCAGCGGAACCAAGAGGCCATAGGTTGGGAATCTCAAATTACTTATGTTGTGAATTTTTGTTTAACTCTTCTGTTGTGATTTCGGTTTGGTCATTTGCTTATTTCCCGTTTATTGACGACAGAGATTGCACGAAGGGAGAGGCAGAGAAGGAAGAAGAGGAAGAGGTGGATATGGGGATCCATTGCCACCACTATCGTTCTCGGGAGTGCGGCCTTGGCCTGGTCGTACATCCCTGTCGGGAACTCATCTTCTGACGTGTCCGAGCCTCGACCGTCCATTAAGGATGATTGAGAAACACCGTTGTGGTGGTTACTGCCGAAACAAAGAGGGACAGGTTCGGGATGTGTAAGCGCTTCCATGTGAATAGAGAAGTATGTTTGGTTTGTCCTGCTTGAAAGAGGATGTAAAGCGCGATGAAGGGATAGTAATAATTTCAGCGCATTGGAACGCTTTTTTGCCCTTTTCACGGCCGTTGTATTTGGCGACCGTCGAGGTGGTTCTCGTTACGTATTGATATGCCCTACTTAAGCTTAAAGCCTTGGTTGGTGCTTTCACCAGGGATTTTTGCTTCAATTTGGTTCAGCGATTTTCTTCGCGAGTATATTTGTAGGCAGAAGTTGCCAAGATTATTCACTGATGAACATCGGACAGAGATAACGTTTTTTTTTTAGAATTGATATCAGTCGTAGCCTGAGCGTTTGTATTTCTTGAAAGCAGATTGCAATCTGGCGTGGCAAACATGGAATTAAAATTATGGGGCAAAATGAGAATATTAAATAATTATGGGAGGCAGATTGAAATTAACTAACCTGAAACGGCGTCGTTTGAAGGTTATCTTCTTGGCTGACCAATTTTGAGAGAAGCCGTGAAAAGCTATCAGGAAGAATTCCAACTCCGATAATGGAGCTCTTCCCTCGCGTTTCGGCTACTCTCTGCCGCTCTAAGTTTTTCTTCGCTTCGAACCCAGAGAACCCTAATTTGCTTCCGTACCGTTCAAGTAAATTGGGGAAAGAGAGCAGATTTCGCATTCAGGCACAGAGCAGCGCCATTAACTATGGCCGGCCTGAACTCTCCCCCTCCAAGAAACCATGGATCAGACAACGAAGCTTCGCGCCAGTCGAGGTTGAGCAAGGAGAAACAGAAAGTGATGCCGAAGAAGAATATGAAGAGGGGAGAAATGACGGTGAAGAAGCGAGTCTTCTCTCTCTGAGCATGAAGCCCGACAGGAACATGGCGTTGCTCGATGATTACGAGATGGAGGAGCTCGATTATGTCCCTGACACTAGTCATCGCAGCGGTTTGTTTTTTTCTTAGGACCCTAACACCGCCGTCATTCCAGTTGGTTGTAGATAGGATCATAAGACTGATTTGTCGCGGCTTATGATGATAATGATGATGATTGTTGTAGGATACGTGGCGGTGCTGGGGAAGCCGAACGTGGGAAAAAGTACTCTCGCAAACCAGATGATCGGGCAGAAGCTATCCATTGTTACAGATAAACCTCAAACGACGAGACACCGGATTCTCGGTATATGTTCTGGTCCAGAATATCAGGTTTGGTTTTGCCTTGCTTCATCGAAGTTCAATAGTTTTCTGTTTGAAGAATCGGACAAAGATGCTTAGAACTCTGATTACGGGTTGTAAAATGTCTGCGGCTCCGAGAACAGTTTGTCTGAAGGTGTTAATATTTGCCTGAAGGTGTTGACTGATGCAGGGTTTGGTTGCAGATGATACTTTATGACACGCCTGGCGTCATTGAGAAGAAGATGCACAAGCTGGATTCCATGATGATGAAGAATGTCCGGGATGCTGCAATCAATGCGGATTGCGTGTTAGTTCTTGTTGATGCATGTAAAATGCCTGCAAAAGTATGCTTCTCTGTTTTATTTATTCCTTCTGAAGCGTCAGTTCCCTGTGCTAAATCTTGATGTTCTGTGCTAGATAGAAGAAGTTTTGGAAGAAGGCCTGGGGGATCTGGAAAATAAGCCGCCCATGTTGCTTGTTATGAACAAGAAAGATCTGATCAAACCTGGTGAAATTGCGAAAAAGCTGGAGGTGAGGAATCTAGGAATTAGTGATGCATTGGCTGCTTCTGTATCATTCACTGCATGACTTGGAAGGGAGAAAAAAGACGAAGATGAAACTTCACTGTATGACATTGCCTTATTCCTTGCAGTGGTATGAAAAGTTTACAGGGGCTGATGAAGTTATACCAGTAAGTGCAAAGTATGGACATGGAGTGGAGGATGTAAAAGATTGGGTATTATCCAAACTTCCCTTTGGGCCACCGTATTATCCCAAGGTATGCTCAAATTCTTATCTCTCCTGCAAAGGCAGTTGTCTGCTCGTTTGTCTTTGCTTAGTCGCACTCTCGTTAAGCAGCTAATCATTTAGCTTGCTTGTTACATGAAACAATTCAGCTCTTTAATGACTTAAGCCTGTTGAATTTTAGGATATTGTGAGCGAGCATCCAGAGAGATTCTTTGTTGCTGAGATTGTTAGAGAGAAGATATTTATGCAGTACCGAAACGAAGTTCCGTATGCATGCCAGGTAAATCAACTGAGTCCTCAGGCACATTTTGTTCTCTTGAGTGTTGTAAGAAAGTTATGGCCTTTGGCACAGGTTGGTCATCTTTGTTTTGACATCCTCAGGTCAATGTGGTGAGCTACAAAACTAGACCCAATGCAAAGGATTTTATTCAAGTGGAAGTGGTGGTGGAGAAGAATTCCCAGAAGATCATCCTTATTGGAAAAGTAAGTGTTCCCCAATGGCTCGAGCATGCCAGCAGCAAGGGGCTGCAAATAAATCTAAGACAAAGGCAGGCTGGAGCCATTTTTCGGGCACTGAATAAAACAAAAAGAGCATATCCTAGATTGTTTATAACAAAAATATGTATATATATGTATGGTCTGAGTTTATATGTGGATCATACAGGAAGGGAAGGCTCTAAAAACGCTAGCAACAGCTGCAAGGCTCGACATTGAAGATTTCCTTCAGAAAAAAGTCTTCCTCGAGGTTAACTCATAAACTCAACACAACTGCTCCAATGGGCTTGTCAGGTACTTTGTTAGTAATTTCGTTAAAACAAAAAAATATATGTGGGTGAGTGAAGGTTGAAGTGAAAGTGAAAGAGAACTGGAGACAGGACGAGGGACTTCTCAAGTACTACGGCTACGGTGGACAAATACGGGCTCTATAGCACGCAATCGCGGTAAGTGGTTTGTAGAAATTGGCTCCGAGTGTTGGGCATTTTACTGCTTTGGGTTGAAATAGGGAAGTGAAGTGTTCTTTCGAACCGACGGTTATTGTTGGCTTCTGCATCAAGCCCTCTGGTTATGCTAACCAAATGAATTAGTTAAGGATCATTTTCTGATAGAATATGTCAGTAATTGGATGGGTTAAAGGGTCATTATTCAGATGCAATTACCAACCGATCATCTAATTATTCAAAGTAGTAGTTTTGATTTTATTTTTTTTTATTTTTTTTTTAAATTTGTTGGGCGGAAATGAAAGCAACTCCTCGGCTCCCGAGACTCTACTTTTTCCGGGAATTCAGCCGGATGAAAACAGACTGCTGGGGCGATGATGGATGAATGAGATCCGCATATTGCGGCTAATAAATTATGTCGGTGTGTAAAAGTTTTTTTTAGTTGATGGAAAGAGAAAGGTGATTCCTTTAACAACAAAAAAAAAGTCAAATTAAAAGGAAACCAACAAAATCTAATCCAACTAATACCCTCCCCGATTAGCCCCGACCCAGAAAAACAAATATCAGATCATCATCATCATCATCATCATCATCATCATCATCAATCTAATAAAAGAAACCGATGACAAAGTCTGGACGAGATGAGACGACACGGGACGGGACTCTCGTGACCATACGAAACGCGCAACAACAGCAACAAGAGCACATGGAGTTTCTTTATTAGCGTGGGGGTTGCCCCCTCCTCGTTATTAAATGAAAGCGTTTCATGGCCATATGACACGTGGCTTTCTCCTTCCAGAAACCACTAAATGGCCGTGAAGTGGGCCCAGTTAAAGGATTTCTTAGTGGCCCATTTATTAAAACAACAACATTTATTTCCCATTTCGAGGATGGTTTAACTCCAATCTTCTTTTTAAGAATGTTCTAAACCCCAATTAATGTTTTCTTTTTTAAGAATGTTCTAAATCAAAATAGATATTTTGATTGATTTGTCGGTGCGTATAGTTGATTATCATTTACGATAACATCGATGGTAGAGGGTGGCGGTGCATGAAGGCCAAATGGCTGAAATCCATTTATCGTCCACATGAAAGGGGCCACCTTTGAAGATGACGTCACCTGTTCTCATCCTCACCTCCTTTCCCTTTTTTTAAAAAAAATCATATTCCTTCCACTTTGGTGAAATAAATAAATCTTGCTCATCACCCTTCACCTCTACTACCATAATTACTTATACAACCTTACTGTATTATCTCGATATGGAATTATTAAAATTAAAAAATTATTTATAATAATTCTTTTCAATTTTTACTCGATGTATACAAACGAAGGGGGTGATATATTTAAAGCTTATAATCACAATGATTCGTGTAAAATTTTATAACAAAATAACTCAATATCTAGATTGTTCCAATAGTTTTCTGGATTTTTTAAATATTTAAATATTTTTTAAATAAATTATTAATATTTAGATCATAAATAATTTTATAGTTCTAATTTATAAAACCTATGATCCAAATTAAATCAGATCTAAAAGACCCAAAATTTGATATATAGGAGGATAATTCTTACCGTCAACTGCGGGCATTACGTAAAGAATATTGCTCCATTCACTATTTAGTGCTTAGAATATAGAGTTTTTTAAGTAGCTAAATTCATATTAAATGGCTTTTTACTATATATATATAATGCCAATAACATGTGTAAACTACATTAATAGCTGAGGATTCGTACGGATATGTCCTAATGTCACATATAAAGAAAATAATAATGAACTTTTATATGGACGGTTACATTTTCCCCTTTAAATACCCCACCGCAACCGCAACCGCAACAACAGGAAGAAGAGAGTGGCTAGGAGAGAGAGGGGCAGCCATGAAAGCAATGGTGAGACAGAGTGTGGTGGTGTTAGCAGCGATTCTGATCGGACAAAGCTGGTGGGCAGAAGGGGCGTTCCGTGATGGGTTCGTGAGAACGAGAGGGGTGCAGTTCCTCATCAATGGCTATCCGTACTACGCCAATGGCTTCAACGCCTACTGGCTAATGTACGAAGCCTCCGATCCATCCCAACGCTTCAAAATCTCCGACGCCTTCCGAGACGCCTCCCGCCGCGGCCTGAGCGTCGCTCGCACCTGGGCCTTCAGCGACGCCGGCTACCGTCCCCTTCAATTCTCCCCCGGCTCCTACAACGAGCAAATGTTTCAGGTACTTTCCGTCTGATCTCAGTATTCTTAATGAGAGTGGATTTTGTGTTCGTTCATTGTATAATTTCTGGGTTTTTATGTGGAGTTGATCTTCTGTAGTTCTGCCGAGTCAATTTTAAAGAATCGCTGAGAGAAAATTCTGGGCTAAAACGTGTATGCCCTCGCTGAGATCTCGTCGGCATTGCATAATCTCTGTCATGGCAAACATGATCAGGAAAAGAAAAAGTTATCTGGGTGTCTTGTTAAAACATTTAGATCTTTGTTGATTTTCTGCCAATTTGATAATTCCGTATGTCTTCCTAAAAGATCTGTCTTTTTTTTCATTGATCGGTTGAAGGGTCTGGATTTCGTGATATCCGAGGCGAGAAGATATGGGATCAAGCTGATACTGAGCCTGGTCAATAACTACGACAGCTTCGGGGGGAAGAAGCAATACGTGGACTGGGCTAGAAGCCGAGGCCAGTACCTGACATCGGAAGATGACTTCTTCACAAACCCTGTTGTGAAAGATTTCTACAAGGACCATGTCACGGTATAAAATCAATCAAAGTCTCCAACTTGATTTAATTTCTCTAGTCTTGTTCAGATTGTTCCTTTCAGATCCAACACCAGTCTCCTTCCTGGATCTTATTTGGTATTCCCTTTTTGTCATGTGGGGTCTCTCTTTCCAGACTGTTTTGAACAGATTCAATACCTTCACCAATGTTCATTACAAGGATGATCCAACCATTATGGCTTGGGAGCTCATGAACGAACCCCGTTGCACCTCTGATCCCTCTGGACGCACCATTCAGGTCTCCTTGACATACAGACAAAAGTGTATTTCTTTCGAACATCGATGTGTTTCTTTGTGTCTGACTTGTTGTCTCTTTAGGATTGGATTACGGAAATGGCCGCTCATGTGAAATCTCTGGACAGTAAGCATCTGTTGGAAGCTGGCCTGGAAGGGTTCTATGGTCAATCTTCCCCTGAGAGGAAGAATCTGAACCCTCCTGTTAACGTTGGAACCGATTTCATAGCCAATAACCGCGTCCCTGGCATTGATTTCGTCACGGTTCACTCGTATCCCGACCAATGGTAAAGGCAACAAGTTCACAGCCTCATACTAGATGCCCAAAACCTCTAATGCTTGTCTTGAGCGTATAAATCCTACTCTTGGTGATGTGATGAACTAAGATCCGGAAAAATTGAAACCCTTTTAGCTTTGATTCTGCATGTTTCACCCTCTCTACTTAACCAAGCTGAAGCCTTTATTTTTTTTCTTTCTTAATTGCAGGTTGCCGTACTCGAACGATGAATCCCAGTTGGATTTCTTGAACAAATGGCTCGACGCTCACATTCAAGACGCCCAAAACGTTCTTCAGAAACCAGTCCTAATGGCAGAATTCGGGAAATCGACTCATGCGCCTGGATTTTGTCTAGACAAAAGGGATACGATCTTTAATACGGTGTACGGAAAGATATACGCGTCGGCCAAGGGACAGGGTGCGGCCGCAGGGGGACTGTTCTGGCAGCTCCTGACCGAGAGTATGGATAATTTTCAAGACGGCTATGGGATCGTGCTGAGCGAGGGCTCGTCCACCGTTAACGTCATCTCTCAACAGTCTCGTAAGTTGGGTTTGATCCGTAGAATGTTCGCCCGGATGAGAAACGTCGAGATATGGAAGAGGGCGAGGAATGGGGCAAAGAAAGTGTGGGGTCCCTAAATTAAATACGGATAAAGTAGAGGGGTCGTTTTGTAATTTCAAGTATGTAAATTCTCTTAGAGATGGGTTTATGCCATGGTGATGATGACATCAGCTCGTCCAGGAGATATGAGTCCGGGATAGATGAATAGCAGTTAATCACAAACCAATTACTAAAATATATATATGTATGTATCGTTTATGTTAATTTTAAATTTTATATCAAAATATAGTTTCATGAACTTGAAAAATTTTCTGGAATTTGCAAAATTCCTTTTCGCCCCGTTCTAATGTCATATATATATATATATATATATATATATAATATAATATAATATAATTTTATATCCATATTACTAACGGGAAAATATAAAGTATCATTCGTTATAGGCCCGATTTATCTGTGGATGGAGCCCACTAACGCTGCCTCTCTAACAATAAATTTCTGTTATTTTTTTTTTGGTTTCATGGATATCTTATTTGTTTTATGGAGCAGCGACGCAAAAAGAAAATGCTACGCGAAATGGCAATTCTACCCTTCGCTTTGGCGATCAAATCACGAACATGCCACTCTGCAACGTTGAGTTGAGTCCTCTGAAAGGAGCTTCAGGCTCGAAATGACATCTCCAATCTAACTACTTTCACAAGGCATTCGATTGTCTCCTCCATCTCCGATTCTTGACGGAGGTTGCCTGGATTGATCTATCTGGTCATGATGCGAGAGACAACGTTCCGAGTCTTCTGCGTTGGAACCGCCGACACGAAGCTCGATGAACTCCGATTCCTCGCTGAGTCTGTGAGATCGAACATCGGCACCTTCCGCAATGACTCATCTTCCAAGGTAATTCTGTTCTGAATCTGAAATGTTTTCTGATAAATTATTGGCATTGGATTGGATGATCGCGTTTTAGGTGGTGGTTCTTGTCATCTCTTTGGTTTGACTTGTTAAGTTCATTGTACTTGTGCAAGAATAAAGCGATGTCCTTTGATGACTTTTCGGTTTATTCTCTCTTGGATTTCTGGGGAGGGTTTTAGTTCGGTTCTACTTTGGTTTCGATTCAAGAGGGTGGGGAATTTAGCGTGTGTTCTTGTCTCTGACCCGAACGATTGGAATAATAGGTGGAAGTTGTGATCGTTGATGTTTCCACGGGTACCGACCAGAAGGACATAGAGAATGTTGCAGACTTTGCTTTTGTAAGGAGAAAAGAGGTTCTGCCTTTCTACTCTGGGTCAGCCGAGAAAAAGCCGGTGGAACTTCCTGATGATAGAGGCGAGGCAGTTGCTGTCATGAGTAAATGCCTTGAGAATTTTCTTCACCAATCCCTTCAAGAAAATTCTCTTGCTGGGGCAATAGGCCTTGGAGGCAGTGGAGGAACATCTCTGATATCTTCTGCTTTTAGATCTCTTCCGCTTGGGATTCCGAAAGTTATCATATCAACTGTGGCCAGTGGTCAAACTGAACCATACATCGGCACTTCAGATTTAGTTTTGATTCCTTCTGTAGTAGATATCTGTGGCATCAACAGTGTTAGCAGGGTGGTCTTGTCAAATGCTGGAGCCGCTTTCGCGGGAATGGTACTCGGAAGACTTGAAAAGTGTAGAAGCTCCTCAAGCAAGAATGAAAAACGGACAGTGGGTATTACTATGTTTGGCGTGACAACTCCCTGTGTGAACATGGTGAAAGATAGATTGGTCCGAGAAGGGTATGAGACCCTCGTGTTTCATGCCACGGGAGTGGGTGGCAGGGCAATGGAGTCTCTGGTTAAAGAAGGGTTTATACAGGTTCCTCTTTCTGTCCATATGGTTGAATTTGCTTACTAACTTCACACCAACCTGATTTAGCTTCATGAATTAGGAAAAGATTCCAAATGGTTGGACTTTGACATCAGTTATGGTTTGATCTCCTTTTTTCCATTTTTTTTTCCTTTTAGGGAGTTATGGATATTACAACAACTGAGGTTGCTGATCATGTAGTCGGAGGAGTGATGGCTTGTGATAGTTCCCGTTTTGATGCTATCATAGAAAAAGGAATACCTCTGGTTCTGAGTGTCGGGGCCTTAGATATGGTGAATTTTGGAGGCAAAGATACAATACCGTCTCAGTTCCAACACAGAAAGATTCATGTTCACAACGAGCAGGTGAGGAGTTTTTAGGATTCCAATGCATCTTGCTAATACTGATAATGGATATCATTCTTGATGATAGTTTAACCCATCTATTTTGCAGGTTTCTCTCGTCCGAACAACAGTGGAAGAGAACAAGAAATTTGCTAGGTTTATAGCTGACAAGCTGAACAAATCCGCATCAAAGGTCCGTGTTTGCTTTCCAGAGAAAGGTATCTCTGCTCTGGATGCTCCGGGGAAGCCTTTCTTTGATCCCGAAGCCACTGGTGCTCTCATAAATGAATTACAAAGTCTCATTCAAATAAGTGAAGACCGACAGGTACTTTTATTTTTTTATTTATCTAGAAACTCGCATATCATATTCCTCCAATGTTCGTACTTCGTTTGTGTATTTATGTATTGAAATGTTGTGTATATCGGTAGGTCAAGGTGCATTCTCACCACATCAATGACCCCGAGTTCGCAGAGGCATTGGTCAACTCGTTTCTCGAGATGTGTTTGAAAACCTATCCTCCTGTGTCCAAAGCCCCCGAGGTTGCTTCATCTAAACCCAGTGGAGACCCTGTTCCTAAGATGGACTTCAAGCTTGGAAGCATTTCACTGAGCCCAAACGATTTCCCCAATGCAAAACCAGGTTTTATTATTGTCCTTTTCACCCAGTCACATTGATTCCTAAATTATTACCTGTCAGATCATTTAGTTAGAATCCTGTTATTTTATTCATTCTGTGCGGAGGTCTGTGTTCTAACTGCCGAGGGACTTGATATTTTGCTTAGACAAAAGCTCACAGTCTAAGGATCTTTTATTTCTTATGCAGAAACCTTGGAAAGAACTCGAACGATATTGGGACAGTTGAAGAATCATATAGAGAAAGGGATACCGATAATCGGGGGAGGTGCTGGTACAGGAATATCTGCAAAGTTTGAGGAAGCTGGTGGGATTGATTTGATAGTAATATACAACTCAGGGCGTTTCCGGATGGCTGGGAGGGGCTCCTTAGCTGGCTTACTGCCCTTTGCCGATGCCAATGCAGTCGTGCTTGATATGGCCAACGAAGTTCTACCTGTGAGTTCCTTTACGAAATCTGAATAATAGTAACCCACCAAGGAAACTGCATCTTTTCTTGGGCATGCTTGGAAGTAACTCATGTTTTCATTCTGTCTAATCCAAACTTACAGGTAGTGAAGGGAGTGCCTGTTCTTGCCGGAGTCTGTGGGACTGATCCTTTTCGGCGTATGGACTATTTTCTGAAACAGTTGGAGTCCATTGGATTCGCTGGCGTCCAGAACTTTCCAACTGTTGGACTCTTCGACGGAAATTTCAGACAAAATCTTGAAGAGACTGGAATGGGATACGGGTAAAGAATCCTTTCCTAAATAATCACTTTTTTCGGGATATGATTCAATCTCTACACGAAAACAAAAAATCATCGGTCTGAGTTGCAGGCTGGAAGTTGAGATGATAGCAAAAGCGCACGACATGGGTCTATTGACGACACCATATGCGTTCAACCAGAAAGAAGCAGAAGAAATGGCGAAAGCAGGAGCTGATATCATAGTAGCTCACATGGGTCTGACCACTTCCGGAACCATAGGAGCGAAAACAGCTGTGTCAATGGAAGAAAGCGTAATGCGTGTACAGGCCATTGCAGATGCTGCTCGTAGATTCAAACCCAACATCATCATTCTCTGCCATGGAGGTAATGTAACCTTATATATATATATATATATATATTGGAATTCTACTAATTTGAAGGTGTTATGTGGGCAGGACCAATATCGGGTCCATCAGAGGCAGAGTTCGTTTTGAAGAGGACGGAGGGAGTGCACGGTTTCTATGGCGCATCCAGCATGGAGAGGGTACCTGTGGAGCATGCCATTACAACCACCGTTCAGCATTACAAATCCATAAAGCTCATGTGAATTCTTCATACAACTCCTCTGCGCGGTTTCTTTGGTCGTTGTGGATGTTTATATAACATCCAAACACATACACACATATATCAATATAGCCTCTGCTATGGTTCATTACTTGTTCAACCAAAAATATTCATGGTTCCGAGCTTTGGGCAAAAAAACAAAAATTTGACTTGGAAATAAAGAAAACGGCAGCAAAGATACAAAAACAGAATTGCAATCTCAACTGCAGATCAGTCGGAATCAGAATCGATATTAACCGATGACCTAACTGACCGGCGAGTGTCCTCTCTATATTCACCTTCATTATCATCTTCATCTTCTTTCTTCTCACTAAGAAAACCTGTAAAAGATACATACTTTCAGTGACTATCCTCTGACCAAGCAGTGAGATTAGCAAGCTCGGTCAGAGAGTACTCGTCCGTACCTTTTTTAATCAGAAGGTTCTCCAGTGTCTTTGTGCTGAAATCATCTTTAGCACCCAGATCCTGAAACCCGACCAGCCTATCCATTGCGACTCCCTTTCTGACAATCATTAGATTCGCCCTTTTAAGTACAAAGCTTGACATTAACAGCATACGATGTTCATAAAGGCAGAGATGCACCTGAAAAGGACAACACAAGGCAGTGTCTTGACCCCAAGCTTCGCAACAAAGAAGGGAGCATTCTGCAATTTTAAGTTTGACGAGCATTAGCTTCGCAACAAGGATTAAAACCCGGAACTGGTCTGCAAAAGAAAAGATTAATCCTTTAGTCTCTCTCTCTCTTTCTGATAAAGAAAGAGACCCACTGACCTCTGCATCCAGTTTGATGAACTTTGTGTCCATATGCCTTGGTGCTAGGGCTTTAAGATGCTTGTCCATTATCCTACAAGGATAACCAAATGGACGGGTTTGGTTTAAACTGGCATATCCGAGAACGAAATGCTATAGCATCAGCATGGCATGAGAGAGGAAACACGGTTTACTTGCAACGGTAGAATTCCTTGTGGTAGAAATGACATATCACTTTCTCACTCCTAGTGACTTCACCCAAGAAGTCACCCTCGTTTATCTCTCGGTATTCTCCGTGTCCTTGCCTTTTTAACGCCTCACGTTTCTCGACTTCTTTCTATCCAGATAGATGATCTTGAGATTATAGTGATAACGCAGAAAAAGAGTTTAAAAAAACAATAAATGGTTAGAACAATGCTTTGTTTTAAACCTTAAGAGCTGCGATCCTATCGGCGTGCAATTTTTCTAGCTCAGGATCCTGCAGAACATGAGCAAGCAAAGTCTTCCATAGAAACAACATCGTAGAATGCAGAAATAATTAAAAAAAAACGGGCAATGCGAATAGAAAACATGAACATACATCCATCAGTTCATCAAGATCGATCTCTTCATTGACGGGAGCTGAAGTTTGCGCCTTTTCTTTTGCAAGAATTTCCTGGAAATCCCGATATAGAAAGCATGAAAAAACACATAAGATCTACCTATCACTGCAATCACACCATCTTTCTCCAACACTAACACTCCATCGAACATTGGTCTATCAAGACCGTCAACCAATCTTGTAGATAATTCTGTAAGAAGATCAAAACGTTGAGCAACCAAACAAACTTGTGCGCAAATACACGCACCAGCAAAAGTCTTCCACAGAATTTTACATACCTTGCAGACAGCATTCGAACATCACATCTTTTTCAAGACATTACACACAGAAATCAGAAATGTAAAATTTCTTGTACGGAAACAATGGCATATGAACTCCCCACAGCATGCATAATCGGAAAAATCCAAAACCTGGACCGAAGAATCTTTCGCTCAGATCCTCACAGCCCTCCAAAACAAAGCAACCGAGAAATTTTTTCGATATGATCAATCAACAAATGAAGGGAAAACTACTTTACCTTCTGATAATCTCTGGCAGCGGCGGCCATGACCCCGCCGAATGCGAGATTGGATAAGGTCGACTTAACCGTATCCGGATCCATCTCTATGAACACCCCTACGCCTGCAACAAACGCAAGCAGATCAACGAAAACTCTACGATGACCAAATGAAAATTCAAGCCATACAAAGTAGCGATCCGAGTTCTTACTCTCGGGAGATTCTGGGGAAAGACGATGATGAAGAGAAATCGAAATCTGCTTTACCTTCCCACCAAATTGGATTGACAGGCCCAGAAAGCCTTCGCCGAGAACCAAAAAGAACACTAAGCTCAGATCAGACTAGCACGAATAAACGCTACGATCTGGTAGGAGATATACGAATTCAAGGCAATGGATTGCTGCTTTTGATCCACAAATTATGGGCCACGACCCAATAAGCTTCCCGCCATGTGACGTAACACACATGGGTCGAAAAAAAGACGAAACAGTTCCAAAGAAATAGGAGGTTCATATTCTTTTTACTTGTAAACATTACCATGGCGCAAAAATTATCACATTGAAATGGAAATCTTCCACCACGCATAGAATCCAAACGCATTAATGCGTATGTAACATAAAACTGTAAATACACCAAAAGCAAGAGCCACAACCACAACAGAAGAAAGAAACCAAACAATCAAGAAGATGAAAGGCGGAGACATAAGCCATCATACTGTAAGAAACCATCAATACATTGGTATTATCAAACTAACTACAAAATTTAGATGGCAGGTTGGTTCTTTTTCTTGTCACAAGTTTTCCTTATTTTTCAGCTGCTGCCCCTATATCTTCTCGAGACACTTGCATCAGACAGCGTATCCCACACCTGCAAATGGCGATTAACGGTTAATCATCCCCGAAATTAAAAGTTTAATTACAGAGGAACTCAAAGGGTGTATATATATATAGGTGGGGGGCATCACTTGTAGCTTCCCCTTTGAGCCACCGATGGCAAGCAAGAATGGCCTGTCTGGGCAGAAGGATGTTGAGAAAACTGCTCCCTGTTGATGATATCATGAACAAGAATGTCGGGTTAGGATCAAGAAGAGGCGCTGCTTTGGCCAGTGAAAAAGGACAGAAGACAATATTTGTGACATCTTACAGCTTTCGGGTTCTGAGAAGCAATGCAAGAAGGCTGGTTGTTGGATAGATCCCAAAGTTTTACCATTTTATCCATCGACCCAGTCGCAAGAAGCTGCGAGTAGATACATACAACGTCAGCAAAAACGGTTGCCGATCCAAGTGAAAGGAGGTAACGGCAAATACACGAGGCGGGTAAAAGGGAGAGGGAACATACATTAGGTGCTGAAGGATTGTACGAGACAGATGTGACTTCTTTGTCATGCGCATGGAGAGTGAAACTCGGTTTTAGTTCAGAAGCTGAACCTGTTTGTGCACTTCTTATATCAAAACCCTTTACCGTTCCATCGTTGAGACTTACCTACAAAATTACATAATTTATAGAAAAAATGTCGAAACCGCTCTACATGGAGAAGTCATCATGACAGAGGGATCATATAATGTATTACCACAAAGGAGTGTTCAGTGTGTGGATCCCAGGCCAAGCTTTCAACTTCAGCCATGACAGACCACTTGAAACCAGAATGTGAAGGATTTCTCCCATCTTTCTGTGATGTATGATAAAGAAGAGACAGGTGAAGAGATCTATCATATAGTACAGACCAAAAGCATGAACGAAACAGAGAGAAATCAGTTACCAATACTACGGTGTGATCAAATGACCCACTCAGAAGAACTTGTGGAGCAAAATGGTTCCATGCCACAGCTTGAACCTGTGACAAAGCACGCAAGATCAATGACACGAGGGAATAAATATGCAGTAGATTAGATTATGCTATTCGCTTTCCAGTGAGATTAAGATGCTAAAGCAGCAAACGCATTTTTTTAAGTTCTTGCCTTGTCTGTATGATGCTCTGAAGTAATGTTACATATGCCAGCAGCAACATCCCAAATCTTAACTTGTTTGTCAGCACTGGCACTAGCAAGTATATTCCTTTTTCCCCCAATAAAACCAAACAAATGTACAGTCAGAAGAAACAACCTCAGAAACATGACACACTGTCAGTCGAGGAACTAAAAAATCTTAAAATTACCGATACTCCTTGTTCCAAGCTAGACCAAGCACCGATCCCGTATGGCTACCATCTTTGTACTTAACTGATGTCTAAGCCAGGGACACAATCAAATAAATAGATACATCAAACTTACCAAGAAAAACAAAAACTGAAACAGCATAGTCAGAGATGCACCGCTTTATTACTCTTCTTTTTCTTGCTCTTCTTCTTCTTCTCGACTATCCCGCCTAATTCTACACATGGTAGCACCTCATCCACCTGAAAGAAACAATAATGAACTTCAAAAAGTATATCATCGGGCACGCAAGAGAAACTTAAACATCAAAGAGAATGACTTTTACATACAATGTCAAGATCCCATATCTCTATTGAGGGTCCCATTGAACCAATAGCTATGAAATTCCCTGCCAATACGGAAACAACCATTCAATAAAGCAATGGCTTTAACGTAGAAAAAAGCCTCTCGCCTAGTTAATAAACTGCTACACTGAGTTTCTAACCTTTTTCTCCTCCTTTAAGAGGGCAATCAAGCCATGCAGTACACAAAGGAAATTCTGGGAGAATTATGTCATGATGTACAAACATGTTTGGTGTGCCATCACCCGATTCCTCGTATACATAAACCTGCCCAAGAATAGAAGTTGAAGTTTGCCGTTAAACACTATATAAGTGTTCATCAACAAATTTGCGCCATGCACAAAACGATAATAATTCCGCACAAATTACACTTGACCTACCTCCAGATGGCTGACTTCATCCTCGTTCCTAGCACAAACAATGACTGAATCGCTTGCCTTTATGGTCAAGTCTTCGAGGTCCTCTGAATCATCATCATCATCATCATTATCATCCTCCTGGAAGAATATGCTATTACATCTCAATATCAATGCTCATCCATCAGCGTACTAATCAATAGCAGGGCTTACATCGTTATTCTTCAAATATGGGTCCATCTCATTACTTGGATAATAAAGATCCCCAAGCCCAGTGCTGAAAAGCTCAACTCCTAAAGTCCAAAAAAAAGAATGAAGGTATAATTGCACTAGTGTATTGACATGAATGCATCATTCAGTTATCTGCAAAATGAGATCAGATATGTACTCGTACAAGGTATTCAACATTGATAGAAGCTTAGGCTAAGTACACGATCTCCAAGAGTTTAGCATTACGTCATATTGTCATGTCTATTCCTAACAGCCTTGACCAATAATTCGAGAAGGTAAGGGATATCATATAATCTATTTGACCAATAATTTTTACAAGCTTGATGCAGAAAAATGGAACAGAGAGAGGCGACATACCATCATCCTCTTCATCGTAATTATCCATGTCAAGTTCCTTCAACCCATCAGCAACATCATCCACATCCATCGTCGAAGAAGCTTTGGTTTTTGAAGATTTCCCAAGTGCTTCTGCCACAGTTAATGCCTGAGCAACTCCATCGCCGGGTTTATCAGCTTCGGCGACAAAACCCATTTCTTCTTCATTGTCGTTACTCTCAGCATCGTCACTGAACGTTGCGACATACCGATAAACGTAAAAAAAATACCAAATAGATTAAAGTTCCATGTGAAACAACAATGCAAACAGGCAAATGGACAGAGACAAAACCTTCTCTCGAAAGCGCCGTTCTTTATGAGTTCTTCGATTTCATCCTTGGAAGGAAGTTCAGCAACAGCGGGCACGGATTTGGAAGCCCCTTTCGGGACCCATGACACTGAACTTATCATTCTGCTCCAAAACACGAATCGACAAATACCCAGAAAAAAAAATAAGAAAGGGATCGAATCTCAAGGCGTCATTGATGGCTAAAGCTTTTGGCTTCGGATTTTCGAGAGAGTGATGTCGAAGTTTCCGCGTTGGTCGCGGAGATGGAGAGAAGCAAGCATACCTGTCTGTGGCGAGAGATGGAGAAGGTGACTAGGGTTCGACTTTCGCCTTGCGTATCGAAGTCTCGCACGATTAAAAACAAAAAAAAAACGGTCTTATTATATATGTGTATGCAAAGGTTTAGCAGAGGTTTTATGATCCATGGGTTTGAAACTTTGAATGGGCCCTTGGACACACATTTTTGGTTGGGTTCATTAATTTAATAAATTATAATAGGCTTATAATAAATTTTAATAGGCTTAAAAAGGACACTCTTACTACTTGGGCCGAACATTCATGGACTGGCTTGATTTTTTTTTATGGGGGCTAAAGGGCGAGTCATGCCTTAGAACTATAGTAAATAAACCAGTTTCCTAAAACAATTTTACCGAATTTTCGATTCAATTATATATTTTAGAAAAATCCGAATAAATATATAAAAAAACTCAAATATAAATTATAAAAAAAATTATACTTTATCCCTTACCAATTATTCTGCTCAATCTTGGATACAAGTTATGAACTGGAGTGGTGATAATTCACTAGTCACGATTTCTTTTGATCGGTACGTGATTCAAGATCATTGAAGGATACTTAGATTCAATATTTGAAAATTCGCTCGTCTCGGGTTGGATATTAGGAAAAAAATTATCCTGTGAGAAATAATATATGTTAGGAAATATGAAGAGTTTGAGTTTATATAATCTCTAACGATGCATGCGATCCTCCCTTCCGAAGAACATCGGAAGATCTAGAGTTTGAAAATGATCATTCGTATGAATTGGACGACGCATTTCGTTTGGTCCGTCCGATAAAAACGGTTACGATGTTACAACGCTGATAAGCTAATTGAAATGGATCGATGCGGATCCTGATCCGTATGACAAATATTCAACATTATCATAAGAAATACACGTTGCATCATTATTGTGAGGGTTCTGGCCCATAAACGATACATTCCACAATTATTATTATTTTTTTTATAACGGAGGATCCCTAACTGCTACCCTTCGGATGCGCTGACTAGGTAAACATCCGACTCGGGAGCAGCCTTTGTATATGGATCATATAAACCCAGAAATTACCTCCCTCCCCACCAGTCAGGAATCGAACACTCAACCTCAATATGAAATTACCTTCTACTCCAAATTTGACCACTCATTCACGATCTTTTGGGTCATTCCACAATTATATGTTAACTACACGAGAGGAAACGCGCATTTTTAGAGTTAATTTCATTGCCGACACAAAAAAAAAATGGAAGAATTGTTTGTGGTGTAGTGCTTTGGGTCAAAATCTTAGAACGACCGTTAGGATTACGTTGATTCGTTATGCATGCACACGTGTCACTCCTCCTTCGGACTCTTCACGACAGAAAAGATCTTACGTTAGGTCGGTGATCAAAACGAAGCCCGAATCCATGAATCATTAATCTCCAGCCGACAATACTGGACGCGTGTCATCATATCACCATGCCAAATGTCCTCCCAATCAGCCACGTGTCGCGGTCACTATCAGACTCATCACTTCTCTCTGATCGATCCATCCCTAAACGGCTCTATAAAATCCACCTTGTCACGATTATCGAACCTCCACACAATACACCATACACAAAACATAAGCTAATTGACTTCCGTGTTCTGCCCGATTCCAAGAAAAAGAAAAGAAGATGGCCTCTTACCAGAACCAGTACGGAGCACAGCCCACCGAACAGTACGGAAACGTGACTCAGCAGGTGGACGAGTACGGCAACCCCATTCACAGTACCGGCACCGAAACCTACGGAACCACTGGCGGAGCCACCGGAGGCACATACGGAACAACCGGAGGAGCTCCGGTGGCGTGTGGGCATCACGGCCAGGAGCATCACAAGGAAGGCGGTGGTTTGACCGGAATGCTTCACCGCTCTGGCAGCGGCAGCTCCAGCTCGGTGCGATAGCGTACATAAAAATATATATGTATAGTTATAGATATATATATATGTTCCTTAAAATTTGATGGTGCATTTGTTGGCATGAACAGTCGGAGGATGATGGCCAAGGAGGGAGAAGGAAGAAGGGGCTGAAGGAGAAGATAAAGGAGAAGCTGCCAGGTCAGCATCACGAGCAATCTACGGGGACGGCGACCACGACGGCCTATGACGTCGGTGGAGGCGAGCACCATGAGAAGAAGGGCATGATGGAGAAGATCAAGGAGAAACTTCCCGGGAGCCACCAGCACTAAAGCTATATATACATATATCACACCTTATTTTATAACCAATCGGAAGCACGATAAATTATAATATGGGTGTGCTGATAGTATACATACGAGTAATAATAATCTTGGTCTGTGATACTTATGCGTGTTGTCTTAGTATGTGACCCTTCGACGCATGGGTCATTTTACCACCAGGAGCGTGGTTTTGTATCAAATAATTATCAAATAAAATGATGTGTAATGGAGATTGGAGAATATGGGTTTATCTCTCATCGCACGTGCACTGTCCAACAAACTAATGGGCCCATAATAATATTGTTCCTTTTTGGGCCTATATGGGCTTCACATGAAAGAAGAGAGAGTTACACGTAAGAGAACAAAAAGGGCAAAAGAAGCATGGGTTTTGTCAAGGGTTTTGTCAAAAGAGAGCAGGTGAAGCTGTTCCTCGATCTGGCAAATCGCACATAAGATTTTCTAATGTCACATGCCATTATCCAACAAGAAAAAAAAAAAACTTTGTTAACGACGGTTACGATATAATATTAACCCATCGCTTTGCTTGACAGATAATTAGCATTACCTTTCTGACTATTATCCAAATGATTCTGTTTTGTAAATCCTAAATTTGCAAAATCTCGAAGGCGTTTCGCTTGGAATTTGTCCTAAATTAAGGTTTGAGGACAGAGAAACAAAACAAAAACAGACAAAAGGTTAGAGAATAACAATAATAATATAATGAAGAACAGAATTCATGTGGTGCGAAGGGGGCAGACAAGGAATATAATTCTTAACAAATCCATCAGTCAATGATGATAACCCATATAATATATGATTCTTATTTTAATTTAACCCCCTACCCAATGGTTTTAGTTAGGTACCAACTCCAACCATTTGTTCAATGATATTCTTCTGAATTTGAATTTATATTTTCTCCCTTACTTGTATAAATAAGCCCCGTCATCTCACACTGAAACTCGTGTTCAACGAAACCTCGAACCAAAGGCGGGGGAAAGAAACAGTGGAAATGGCTAAGTCATCGTGCTCTGTTCTCTTTGCCTTGTTCATTGCCTTCTTTCCTCTCTGTCTCTGTTCCCAAACCTACGGAAGTGGGTATCTCTTCCCTCAGTTCTACGACCACTCTTGTCCCCAAGCTCAAGATATTGTTAAGTCCATAGTCTCCAAAGCATTTGCCAAGGATCCACGAATGGCCGCATCACTGCTTAGGCTCCATTTCCACGACTGTTTCGTCAAGGTTCTGCATATCTCCTTTATTACTCCGTCTGTTTTCTTACTAAATTTCGCAGTCATTTCAGTTTTCTTGTACGCTTCTAAAGGAAAAAAAAAACAAGAACCCTTACAAGATATGTTGCTAATGTACTGTCGGCAGGGATGTGATGCATCGCTGTTGCTAGACAGCAGCGGGAGCATCGTCAGTGAGAAAAGATCAAACCCGAACAGAAACTCGGCCCGAGGATTCGAAGTCATCGACGAGATTAAGTACGCATTGGAGAAGGAGTGCCCCGAAACAGTTTCTTGTGCTGATGCCTTGGCTCTTGCCGCTAGAGACTCCACCGTTCTTGTAAGCCCACATAGCTAAACTCCGAGCCACATGTACATATATATATAAGTGGGTTTTCCTCGTATTATGGTTTAGTGTATGTTTTTGTACGGTGTCTATATAGACGGGTGGACCGAGCTGGGAAGTGCCTCTGGGAAGAAGAGATTCAAAAGGGGCAAGCTTAAGCGGGTCCAACAACGACATTCCAGCCCCTAACAACACTTTTCAGACCATCCTCACCAAGTTCAAGCGTCAGGGCCTCGACCTCGTCGATCTTGTTGCTCTTTCTGGTATATATACACGTACACGTACATACATATATACATACACCAACTCTCCTCTCCACGAATCACGAAAAACGACATCCTGCGTCAATGTCAAGTTTTTTTTAATGAGAAACGCATGGAAATGACATGCAATTATTACAGGGAGCCACACTATCGGAAATTCGAGGTGCACAAGTTTCCGGCAGAGGCTGTACAACCAGTCCGGGAACGGCAAACCGGACATGACCCTCGACCAATCGTACGCCGCCACGTTGCGTCCCCGGTGTCCGAGGTCCGGCGGCGACCAGAATCTCTTCTTCCTGGACTTTGTCACGCCGACGAAGTTCGACAACCATTACTTCAAGAACCTGATAATGTACAAGGGACTGTTGAGCTCTGACGAAGTGCTCTTCACGAAGAACAGAGAATCGAAGGAGCTGGTGAAGCTTTACGCGGCGAATGAGGATGCCTTTTTCGAGCAGTTTGCGAAGTCGATGGTGAAGATGGGTAACATCTCGCCATTGACGGGGGCGAGGGGCGAGATTAGGAGGGTTTGCCGGAGGGTTAATCATGTTTAATCTCTTGATTAAGTGGGGTTGCTTTTGCATATTTGCATGGATGGATATTTGGATTTCTCTTCTTTGATGTATGGGTTTAATTTTCTTGTTTTGATGATGATTTCTCTGTATTTCGCGTTTGAATCAATGCTTGGACATATTTGAATATGATGCGTCGTGTCACGCCTGCATATATCTTTTTACTGGTTATCATAAGATTCTCATGAAAATTTACAAATTGCTACGAATTATAGCCCATCACGTGTGATTTTGGATCTGGTTTCTATTTTCTAAAGTATTATGGACCCTTTTGATAGATTGTAAAAGTTAGGGGTCAAAGGCAGGGTTGAGAAAATTGTTGTTTATATAAGATCTGGGCCTCAGGGTCCAAATAGTTTATTCTAGGGTTGGCCTTAAGCCCAATAACAACATCGACACGCAAACCTCCGGAAACTCAGCGAGAGACGGCGGGAGGACGGCGGATCTCTCCCTTTTTTGGTGTGCAATTATGTCGTTGAATCTTTCTTCAGCGGGTTTTCGGTTTCTACTACTCTCCAGACGGGTCGTTTGCTTCTTCATCGCATCTCTGTAACTACTCACGAGTACTTTGAATTAACCCTTAGATTGTGTTAAAGGCTCTCCAAGGGCGGCGCAGTGGCAGTGGGAGAACGCCACCGCCGGCGCCGTCGCGGGATTCGCCACCGTCGCCGCCATGCACCCTCTCGATGTGGTCCGAACGAGATTCCAAGGTCTGTCGTTACTTTCGATCTGATTAGACCCACGGATTTGCGGATTTTAGTTAGTTGATAGCCTGATTGAACAGTGAACGACGGTAGAGCTCCCAATCTTCCGACGTACAAAAACACCGCTCACGCTCTCTTCACCATTGCCCGTCTCGAGGTTCGGTGTAATAAAGAAAAAAAGTCCCATCCTTTTCGTACGTCGTCGTTAATTGACATGCCATTTCGTTTCTTATGCATTTCACTGTTTCAGCCTTCTTTTGTTTTTCTTTGGAGATTTCTGGTTTTCAAGTTTTACCCTATGCTGAAGTCAGTGAAGTTCTCTGTTGTTCACATAACAATTGATAAACGAGTGTTGGTTCATGGTGGAGTGAATGGGTTGTGCATTTACTGTTCTGGTTGCTTCAATGGTTATGCTATTCTGGGCATTATCGGTGGGAATTCAGAGTATTTTTCATAGTTTTTCTGCCAATCTTCTTGAAAATATCTTGGTGACTGGACTTTTGTCTCCACTGCCCTTTCTCATTGTTCTTCTCTTCATTAGCTGATATGATTTATTCCTTTCTTCTGCAGGGCTTGAGAGGATTATATGCAGGTTTCTCTCCCGCGGTTATAGGTTCCACTGTTTCTTGGGGTTTATACTTCTTCTTGTGAGTGTTAAATCATTCCATTTTTCATACAATGATGGCAGCTTGAAGATGCCAAACAGCATTTAGTCTTTTTTTCCTTAACATTTTCCTCTAAGATGTTGTTATGGTCATATCATTCTCATTCTTTTATCATCGTGTTCTCCGTTCTTCTTGCTTCTCCTTTCTGCTGGACTATGATTTCCTCTGTTTTCAATTTAAGCTCTTGTCCGAATGATCATTAAGTTCTGGAAGTATATGTCTGCTATCTGCAGTTATGGAAGGGCTAAGCAGAGATACTCTAGAGGCAGGGATGAGAAGCTCAGTCCTAGTCTTCACCTTGCTTCTGCTGCTGAAGCAGGGGGCTTGGTGAGCATAACTCTCATATATTTAGTGGTCTGCGATAAGTCCCTTTCTTAACGCTGACAAGATTATGATATGTTCAGGTCTGTTTATGCACAAACCCGATTTGGCTTGTGAAAACAAGATTACAGCTTCAGACTCCTCTTCATCAAACCCGACCATACTCTGGGCTATATGGTTTGCACTATGTTGTGTGATTGATAACTTGTTAGATTGAAGTAGCAGTTCCCTTTTATGTTTCTTCTTATTCAAGGTTTCTTTTGCTCCACCATGAATTTCAGATGCCTTTAGAACCATACTGAAAGAGGAAGGGCCAAGGGCACTCTACAAAGGGTTTGTCCCTAGTCTGGTACTGGTAAGTAACTACACCAGAGCCTGTGTTTTTCATTTTCTTTCCTGACAAGGACCATATCACATAAGACTATTCGAGAGTGAGTGTAAGAGTCTTAACCTTTTTCGTTTCCTTCTTTGGCCACGCATATATAAATCTTATACTTTGCGGAAAATATTTTGATTTGAATTCAGTGCTAGTTTTGTTTCTTCAGCAGGTTTCTCATGGTGCTATTCAATTCACAGCATATGAGGAGCTTCGCAAAGTCTTTGTGGATTTTAAAGAAAGGAGAAGAACGTGTGGAACTGCCAATGATCTATTGGTATAGATTTTTTTTTTTCTTTTCTGCAAGGTTTGATTCTGTAAATCATATCTGACTCGCTCCCTGCATTTCAATAGAACTCGGCCGACTATGCTGTTCTTGGTGGGTCCTCCAAAATTGCCGCCATGCTTCTTACGTATCCGGTTCAAGTCATCAGAGCTCGGTTACAGGTTTTATATCAATTATTTCCAACTTCAACTTTGCCTTCTTGTAAACAAAAAAACTATAAAATTCTTGAGATTGGCTGTCTTGTCTACGTTGATTGACGTGCATGCATGCATGTCCTTTTCAGCAACGACCGAGTACTAATGGAATTCCGAGATACGTGGACAGTTGGCATGTCATCAGAGAAACCGCGAGGTTGATAACACATTTTCTTGCTTCTTTCTAACGCTCCTCTTTTCTTGTGGTTGATGATCATTTGCTTATACGTTTCCGCAGGTTTGAGGGCGTTGGAGGTTTCTACAGGGGACTCACGGCAAACCTTTTAAAAAACGTTCCTGCTTCTTCCATCACCTTCGTCGTCTACGAAAATGTTTTGAAACTGCTAAAACATGCCCGAAGGAAACAAGACTAGATCTTTCTTTGTCTCCTTTTCTCCATTTATTGTTGTTTTTCTTCTTTTTTCTGGGCACCCGCCCTATAGATTCATTCGTATACTACATAGTATAAGAGGAGTTTGGACCACCACTTTCATTACTTTTAGATACACATTCTTGCATTACATAGCACAGACATCTTGAATTGTTTTGTACAAACGCGAGCAAATCTCTTTTCCTGATCTTGAAACGTTTCAAGAAGCCATTGATTTCTTCTTCATCCTCTGAGTCCAAGCTCGTTCCCTTGCCACCGCTGCCCATCTTCATCTTCGGCCGATAATATCCACGAGTCAGATCCTCACTCAGGAAAACAAAAGAACCATTTTCACACTTCCAAATTTCAATTATGAATCTAAGAGACCATTATTTTGAAGAAGAACAAAAAAAAAAAAAGGAAATTGGAGAAGAAATAGCAGAGCAACACAAGAAGATTACTGATCTGAATCCGGTGGGGAAAATTCTTTCTTCCGTTTTTTATTTCGCCGATTCGTCGGAGAAGGAACGGATTCCGTGACACGAACGAGGTTTCGTCATTGGGCTTAATTCAACAAAGCCCATTTTAAATGGGCCTCATAGTTGGGCCTTGACTTTTTGCTGTTTAGTTCCAGAGGGTTTAATATCTCTCGGGCCTTAAAATAGTTTCGGCCTTTTCGTATCAGTATTTCTAATCCGTGATTTCATAGGGACCTAAATCACGCAGAGAATATTGCGCCGAATTTAATGAAATCATTACGAGAATATATATACACGTATATGCATGTATATATATGCGTAGATTGTTTGAATATATACATTTACTATGGGTGGGGTGACTTATTTTCGGGTTGAAGAGCCACATATGGAATGAAAAGATAGTAACATTAATGACCCTAATCCCTAAATTCCAACCATTTTTGTAGATTATCGATCCTTATTTCCATAAAAAGGGAGAAAATTTAAATCCAAATGTTACAAAATATACACGCGATCCATTATAAAATCAACGGCCGAGTCCGAGGAGTTCACGAAGCTCACACCGTCAAACGACAATCAATCTCGTTTATTTCTCGTCGTGTTCTAGTAGTTCGTCAAAAAAATGTTTTCTTCGAAACAAGATCCGACAACAAAAATGGTTTGGTTCGATTTTCTCATCTCATAAATTGGTGGGCACAATTTATATTTTGGTTTTACATAAGATTCCTATGTATTTGCAGACTTGTGGGTTCAAGGTGAACACTAACTCACCCGGGTGGCACAAGAGCTTGACGAAAATCCTCAAGAAAATCAAAGGTCTGTACCTTCTTATAGTTTATTCATTTTTCCGAGAAACCCTTATAAGCGCAAACATATGATGATACAACAAACCATAGTGTATGATTTCTTTGGACCGTTCATATATATATTATAATGCAGGAGGGAATTTCGCAATAGATGTGGAGGAAGGGGTTGCATATGTTACGGGGCAAGGAAACCTAAAGAAGCTGCTGAAGCTGATGGGTTCAAAGACGAGCAAAGATGCGGAAATGGCGTTTGTGAAAACGGGATCAGGGCACCAACCACCATACGACCCTAATTATTACAACAGCAACAACAACTACTATGGCCACTACGGTCAGGGCATGCCCTTCTCCTCTGGTTACGCTCATTCCGACATGGCTTACCCTTACCCTCCTCCGTCCATGTACTACTCCTCGGCCCCACGCCCCCTACCCTATCATCATCAGTATCCTTATTCTGGATATTGTAATTACTCCAATTACTATTAGGGTTTAGTCACTTTGAGATCGAGCATAAACCCTTTTCTTTGTTAATCATTAGGGTTTGTTGCTTGTATCCAAAGATCATGGACCCTTTTTCTGGTCCTTTGTTCGGATGAATCTTCTCTTCTGGGCTTGAAGATGCCGAAAGAGAAGCTTCTCTCCTTTTGTTTTTTGTATGAATCCAATGATATTAGTGTTGGGATTCATATCAACTCTCTTGTCACTATGGAATGGAAGTTTCACCTTATTATAAGTAATTACGACCCATGTTCTTCCGCATCTCCACATGTCTACTCTCAATCCAAGATTTATAATGCTAAGTATTGCTAAAGTTATATAATGAATGTCCACACACACAAGCAAACTGATAATTCACATTCCCACAAAGACCATTCCATCTTCATCCCATGTAAGTATAGTATCCAACCACATATGGCCGGTACATATCATACACATCAAGTGCCCCCAATCTCAAACAACACTTCCCCTCATAAAATCTTATTATAACTGCATCAAGTTCTTGAAACAATACGTGCCAAGGACGAACCATCCCACCAGCAAAACCCCAAAAATAGTACAGTAAGCTATGAAGTTCCAAGAACCCAGTGCAAAGGCTAGACCGTAGACTATCACACACGGCAAGAAGGACCTTGCCATGGACGCTTTGCTCACCCACTGCCCCTTGAAGAACACAAAAGCTGCAAGGTTTACCATGTTCCATCCGCCAGACCCAACGCCCAATCGGTTCAGATTGTTGGCTACGAATGAATGACAGTTGCATGTGAATAGGTTGTACGATCTGTGCTGGTATTCCTGTGTGCCTTTTCTCAATGCATCATCCCATGTCAGTTCTTCAAATACATTAGCATCTTCCTCGTATTTGCTCTTCCCATTGAATATACAAGATTTGGAAGAAATAGAAGATTCCTGTTGAGAATTGAGATATAAGATAAAGTTAATGAGGTTAAGATGAGAACGGTGCATTGAAGAAGCCGAAAGCCAACAAATTGACACGTACCTTTTCCTTTTTTAATTGGATATAGCGAGCGACGGCTCCAAAAGCAAAATTATCCACGCAGACGAAATTCGGCCCGGCAAAATCAAGGATGACACCGTCTTCTCTGCAAATGCCAACATGGCCTATGAAGGGAATCAACCATGAAATAAAGGGAAGAGGTGTCCACACGATGCAGCATGGGAACCGCGCTCTTCCAGGATCAATTGTAGAGCAATCTGCAAACCCGTCTTCGATCATCATCTCTGGTTCTGCTTTTGCTTTCTCTCCCATTTCCAAATACCGGGGGTTCCTTTATTGGATTCTTCTCTATTCTCAAACAGATAGATTCAAAAATGTAAAATTTTGTAGCAGGAGGTTGAGATCATGAAAAATAAAACTTGTCTACCGCAGATGCCAATATCTAGGTAACCGGCATGCTCATTTTCAGTTGGTAATGCAGTCATGAAGTTCCAAGCTGTATGATGTAGTGCAAATTCGAAAATATAAAAGAACATTCAGCGAATTCATGAACCAATTTTGAAAATACCCATAAGAATTGTAACACCAATTAGCTAACCCTTCTACTGAAGAACCAACACGTTCAGAGAAACACCTCCTCTGAACCATAAACCGCCCAAGATCCCTGCAGAAACTTGTCTAACTATTCACAATCCCAATGTTGAGGAAAAACCAATAATCATCTCCATTTCCATCGTAAAACAAGCCAAAAAAAAATCACCTAAACCAGCGAATGAGGCAAACATTTAGAATACTTATCAAAATCACCGCCAGATTATCCAGAACATTGACATCCAAGTAGCAATTAATCGAATCGAAGCATCTTATTTTCTGCAGATCAAAGCAAAATTTTCAAAGAGAATAGATAGGAGAGGTACCAGTTTAAGCGGCGAAGACAATAATAATACAGGATCTGAATCCAGGTATCAACAACTTCGTCGCCGTTGACTCTGGAATCGACGAGTAATGGATCGATCGATCGGCAATGTTCCTTCAACCCTAACCGGGAAGATACTCCGACAAGAGACCACGATGAACGGCAAAATAACGTGTTTGGCTACGGGTTTAGTGCAAATCTCTCCGAAGGATATTTCCCCCCTTCTCCATGATAAGTATTATTTCCCCCCCCCCCTCCCCCAAGTTTCTGGTATATCATTTTTGGCCATCGAATAATGGTAGGCATTTCAATTCATGCATCCCATTTTCTGATTTTACAACTAGACCCATTATTAGTATGCAAAACTTTAAAATCTAACCTCCACAATGCAAGAAAATATTTAAAACGTAAAAACAAGTATAACACGAGGATGAATATTTAAAAAGTAATAATAAATTCAATCATTGCTGACACGTCATACTATTAGGGAGCAATGGCTGAACTACAGAAGATTTTGTTTCGTATTCACCGTCACCAATTTCAGAGGTGGAAAAGATTATATTTTCTCCACGTATTCTTTGGCTCTCCAAACTCTTTCC